CGTGAGGTGTAGGCCTGTGCTGGTAACAGAGTCCTCTAGGACTAAGAGGAAAATAATATAACCACAGTAAACGGCTTTTAATTGACCTACTTTGCTTTGCTTTACACTCTCGGAAAAAAAGGTAGTAAACTGTCACTGGGGCAGTGCCTCTCGTCACTGGGGTGGTTCCCTCAAGGGTACATCTCAGTACCTTTAGTCAGGGAACATAACTGAACCATAATCCACTGAAATGATATGTTCTAAGCTGTACTGACTCCACACACCCCGTCTCGTCTCCAGGACTTTATTTTACTGTTCTGCCCTGCGATGGACTGGCGACCTGTCCAGGGTGTATCCTGCCTTCCGCCCAATGACAGCTGGGATAGGCTCCAGCACCCCACCGCGACCCTGAAGGATAAGCGGTTTAGATGATGTATGTATGTTGTGTTTTAAAACATTCGGTTATGAAAAGGTACAAATACGAACTTTTCACCTGGAAAAACTTATTTAAGGTTCACAATCAGACCTTAAAACCACTGTTGTACCTTTGAGGGAACATTTACACTGTTTGTACCTTGATGAACGAAAAATGTACCTGAACAGAACCTTAATTTCTAACAGTGCACAAGAAATTGTGTGAAATTCTGGCCTTGATTAGTTAGAGAATCTGATTGGACTTGTTGTTTTTTGCCTCAGATGTCCTTGATATTGGGTCGATACTAACGAACCTGGACAGGACACCGGTCCATGTTGAAATGGACGGCTCCTCAAAGAAAATGCGTTTTATCATGCCAATAAACTTGTCAATAAACTGAGCAGGCAGTTGTGAGATGTATTAAAAAAAAAAAAACATAATTGCAATACTTTTCCGTCTGGTTATTTTGAGATGGTTCCTAACTCTGAAAGCGCGAAACCAGTGATGGCAAACAAAAGCTTATTCCTCATGAAATTAAAGAACAGAGCAAAGATCAGTAAAATCTGGTTGTGGTGTGAACACATCGTTAATTAGGCCATGAAACTGTAAATAACAAAGATAATGACCGTCTGAGGCCACTTAGCTTAGCCTGATGCTTTCATGTCTGAAGCCATTTGAATTGACCCATTCTGCCCGATTTACAAAAGCCATAAACTTTATGGGTCCTATAGGGGTGTTTCTGCAGCGTAACTATGCCCAGTCTGGGAGCAGAGCAGCACCTCCTGGGACGGTAGGGGGGGTTAAACCTCCTGTCAACATGGTTTCAAATGTTAACATTTTTTGTTTTATGTTTATATACCGCAGAAATGGAAATGGAAGTGGAAAAAGGTGTTTGTGTTATACTCAATATATATAAATAAATCAATAACAATTTAGGCCCAATGCCACTTCTTATTTTTAACCCTACTCCTTGTTTTCCAGGGACACCTTGCCCGTTGGAACTTAGTTACAAGGGGTAGGTTGAAATCTTCCCTACAAAATGGGACCCTCAAATAAAACGAGCATCACTTCATTAACAGCTACTAGTGCTGCTCTGTAGGCGACCCTGCCAGTCTGCAGTGACAGCAGAGGAGGGTAAAGTTCAGCTCCTCACTGCTGGGCTTTAGTTACATTTAGGGCATCATATGCCTTCAAAGAGGGGGCAATTATTTATTATCACCCACCACTAATTCTTCAGTGATATGAAGCTGAAATCAGAAATTCGCCAGCTTTTTGTTAGAATTCTCCCGTTCCACCTTAAATGGAGCAGCAGTTACATTTTGCTGCTTCAGGCGTCAGAACTGCTCGACTACTTAAGGTGGAAAAGGAAATTTAGCTAGCTAGCTAACGAGACATTAGTATACTATTAGTGATTTTTAAGCTGGTTATGAAGAAAATGACCATAATACATTGAAACAACATTAAGCCAAGTTAATGAAATTGTTATCGTAATTTTTTAACAGAGAAAATTCTCACATTTGTGGGTTTCTTTGGTGTCTTTGTTTGGGGGGCCATGTAGCCCCAACAGTTCTCCCTACCCCTCCATCTCAACAAGAATCAGGACACCCTACCCCTAGACGTGAACGAGCAAAATGGAGGGCTATGGGCTAAATGGTAGGGGCGAGGGGTGAAATGGGATTGGGCCTTAGTAATTGATAAACACTGCTACCTGCTCAGAACTGTGGGGGCATGTCAGACTGCATAATGATTGACAGTGGCATTTACATGGCAACATAAACAACACTGCCAATGGCAGTGGTGAGTAACCTTGCCAACGATGCTAGAAATGGCACACGCAGCAGACAGGATCGATGTGGTTCAGCCGTACACCTTGGAGAACTAGAGCCCCCCAAAGAAAAGCAGACCACTTCTCTGTTCCTGTCCGCTACCTGAATAGGATTCTGCAACAGGCAGCTAATGACAAACAGGAGTGTAATAAACCTTCATAACGAGCACTTAACAAGTCTAGAAAAGCTTACATAATCTACTTGAGTTTGTCTGGGACTCGGAGCAGCAGGACAGCGGTCACTATATGTGAGAGAGAGAAGCCTGAGGAGCTGCCGCAAATATATATATATATATATATATTTGTGTATATATATATATATATATATATATATATATATATATATATATATATATATATATATATATATATATATATATATATACACATAGATCTGACATCACCTGTGCCAAATTTAGCCCCAACGAAATCAAACTGAACTGAAGAAATTGGCAGAAAAAGTCATTTAAAAAAATCTCTCAACAGACAAGACCTCAGAAAGCAGTTCATAGTACAAACATCATAAAAACCTATAGATAACAGTTATAACCCCGATCTCAAAACGCTGGCATAGAAGCTAAAATGCAAATAAAAAGCTAAACTGGTCAGCCTGAAGTCCAAACCTGTCTCACTTTGAAAATGTGTGGCACATTTATTATATTACATTTTTTATTTATTATTATGGCACAATAAATGACAGCGGAGACCCCAAACTGCTGAGCAGCTGACGTGTTATATTGAGCAAGAATGGAAAAGAAATTTCACTTTCACAACTACAACAATTGATGTTCTCTGTTCCCAAATAATTACTGAACATTGTTAAGAGGAAAGGTGATGTAATATAGAGGTAAACATGCCTCGTCCCACATTAATAAGTTGAAACATCAAATATCTTGCCTTTGTACTGCTTTCAGTTTTAAAGAGGTCCAAAAGGATGTGCAGATCATTACTGTCTGTTTTTATTTACATTTCACCTACTGTCCCAATTCTCTTTATAGAAAAAAAAAATCATGAAAGCAAGTAGACAGGGGCTTATAGTCTTGCCCAAGGGCACAAACCAGGTATTCTCAGTCAGTCCTGGGATTTGAACCCACAACCTTCCTGTTTCTGGCTCACTACCACTAGACTAGTAGATATCTGAGGATGTGTTAAAAAGCACACCATGACAAAGGGCCGAAAGATCAATCATTTTGATATCGAAATCGCAATTTAAGTGCAATTTTCAAATCAAAAGAGCTGCAATTAAAAAAAATATCATCAAGGTTCTTCAAACAGATGGTTCTTTAGTAAAGACAGCGGTTCTATATAGAAACATAGACGCTCGAAGACCCAGTTTCATGCTTAAATGATTCTTTGAAGGTGAAACAGCTTCTCATAATGAGGAGAGTGTGTTGTATATGGTTCTATATAGCACCAAAAAGGGTTCTGTTATTGTTACAGTATCAAGGTTGTAACAATAGAAGAACTTTTTGGTGCTATACAGAACCCTTTTCGAAAAGGTGCTATATAGAACCATATACAACACATTCTCCATAAATCTAAAGAACCATTTTACCATGCAAAGAACGTTTTAGGCATGCATATGGGTTGTTAAGCGTTTATGGTTCTGTATAGGACCACTGTCTTTACTAAAGAACCCCTGAAGAACCATCTTTTTTGAAGTCTGTACATCAGCAAAAACTTTGATTTAAGTTATAAGTGGGGAAAAGAACCTAATCAGAGCTTGTGAAACACCTGCAGATAAGTTAGACCAATCAGAGGCAATCAAACTTCAATGTGTTGCGACATCAAAACCACAGCTTACTGGCAGTTTGACACACTACGTTCAGGGGTCGAGCCTCAAACCAAAAAAGGTGGATATTCTGATCTTCTTGGCCAAAATAAACCAGGCCTGAATCTCAATTTATAAAAAATTGCAATTTAAATTGCAGTCACAATATTAAGAAAAATCGCAAAATTAGATATTTTCCCGAAATTGTTCAGCCCTGCAGTAACATACAGGAGGCTTTTGGTAGCATGATAGCCACTTGCAGAACCAAGCATGTTCAACCAGTGCAGCTCAACAGCCGCATCTAGAGAACAATATCATCTATATCAGATACAATAAATGTGGTATTAATGTAGGTCACACCATACAAAATGTTTCAAAGTTCAGTTAAGTTTATCCATGTGAATATTAGTGTTTGTCAATGGATTATATCAAATAAATCAATAAATAAAAAAAAAAAACTGGCAGTAAATGAGTTTTTGCCATTATTGGAAGCTGTTGCTACAATAACTCACTGTAGCTGTTACTACAATAACTCACTTAACTGTCACCAGACCTAGTAAGGCACAAAGGTGCACCACTGTTTTACGGCTATAATTTCACATAGACATTTGAATCCACAGAGTCAAAGTTAGAGCTTAAATATATATTATTACAGCCATTTTATCCTCGTATATAAGGTCAACTGTGGCTTATCTGTAGACCCTCTAGTGCTTTCTGTTGGGGAATGATAATAGCCTCTGTCCTTCATTCTAGTAATACAGGAAAAACAAAGACATCTCTCCACACTTACGAACGACAGGACTGAATGCTGGTGACATCCGAAGCCTTTCAGTCCATTAAGACTGATAATGAACATGTAAGTATGTTTGTATCTGTTTCTCCTTTTAGGGTGAATTATTTGAGTATATTATCATTCAGCAGTTACAAGATATTCCCTAAACATAGCTGAAATATTCTTTCTAAATTAAACGGCAAACCCGCAAATATGAAGTTATATATAAAGCACTCACATAGTCATGGAAAGCTTTGGCCTCGCTCGAGTGTTCGCAAGTGTCCCTTCTTTCAGGTGCAGCACAGTACAGGTCCCAGAATACACTGCAATTCAATAGAGAAGTCTGTCTCTACTAAGTAGAAATGAACTGTAGTGCCCATAGACCAGTTTTACAGACTCATGTTAAGCCTGTAATCCTAATTTTAAAGCATTTTCATTGGAGAGCTGACAGGTTAATTTAGTCCAAGACTAAGCTTAATCTGGGCCACGGCACCCATTATACAAATTACATTAAACAAACTCATACAGGTACATAATCCTCATGATCTTTGACTACAACTAATGAATGGGCTGAATATAAGAATAATACTATGATAATAAAGACATAGAACCATAAATCAGTGCATAGACAGATTCGAGGTTACGTACCACCACCATGAGTGCAGAAAGCCTGGAGGTTCACCCAGCGTTATGTTCTTCTCCCATCTTATCTGAAGAAAATAAGAAAGCATAGTGAATTTCTGTACGAATGTCTAGCGATTTTTAGTGAATTTCTGATTAATTTTTATTGAATTTCCATGTGAATTTCTAGTGGACTTTGGTGGAATTTTTGGTGAATATATAGTAAACATCTATATGAATTTCAAGTAGATTTTTGGTGAATTTCTGGTGAATTTATAGTAAACTTCTATATGAATTTCATGTAGATTTCTGTGGAATTTATGGTGAATTTTTTAGTAAACTTCTATATGAACTTCAAGTAGACTTTTGGTGAATTTATGGTGAATTTATAGTAAACTTCTATATGAATTTCAAGTCGATTTTTCGTGAATTTATAGTGAATTTCTATATGAATTTTAAGCAATTTTTTAGTGAATTTATGGTGAACTTATAGGGAATTTCTATATGAATTTCAAGTAGATTTTTGGTGGAATTTATGGTGAATTTATAGTGAATTTCTATATGAATTTTAAGTGAATTTTTTAGCAAATTTATGGTGAACTTATAGTGAATTTCTAAATGAATTTCAAGTAGATTTTTGGTGGAATTTATGGTGAATTTATAGTGAATTTCTATACGAATTTCAAGTGGATTTCCAGTGATTTTTCTGTGAATATCTGTTAATTTCTCTGCGAAATTCAATATAAATTTCTAGTGGATTTCCAATGATTTTTAGTGATTTTCTTCTGCAGTCTATGTGATTTTTAAGGGATAACTTTAATTATTTAGTACACTGCATTAAACATCTTGGCTTTTTCAAAAGTTGGTGTCTTTTTTTTGCTACAACGGCCAAAAAATTAAGCGAAACCTTTTCCTGAATTTCTTTTACGCAGTTTACTAAAGCAAAATCATGTGTAATAGAAAACTTAAAGCCAAAATTAACTGTTTATCTGCTAATTAATTGTATAAGCTGTGAACGAAGCCATTCAGAGTGGTTTGGTGTGAAACGCTCTGTTCTAGAGAAACTCAGAATCAGAACTGTTCACAGTGGTGGTGCTAGGAACCAGACATCCACACCTAAAAGCTCCCTCACAGAAAGTGACTACAAGAAATGGTTATGAATTCACTGCCTGATGTCTGAGACACTATTTATGATAGTTTTGAGAGAGGTTTTGGCTTGAAACATGCTTCTTTAAAACATATTCGTGGTGGAGAGACACATGCAGGGCGTTGTGAGGCAAAACAGTCCCCAAAGAAAACTGTTCTTTTTGGATTTTCCACTATTTTACCATCATCAACATCACATATAAAAGCTCAGAAGACACATGTAGGTTCACTGGTGGATTTGGATAGTAAATAAAATAGCTACAATTGTGTTGTAGACGTGGCAACCCCTGGTTCCTATCACCACCTCTGTAAAGAAATCGGAGCCGGAACGTTTCTCCACAATGAACCAGTTCACATCAAACCACTCTAAATGACTTTGTTCACATCTCAACCACTGAATTATGTAGAAAATTTTGAGAAATCATCACAGGAATTGCCCTTTAAGATCTATTACGCAGGCCTTCAAACGATCAGCAACACATACACACGTTACAGCATAATCAAAATGGAGGTCAGGAGGCCATCACCAAATGGACGAGGTGATTCATTTCATGGAAATGTAGACCAAACAACATCCTACCTCTGATAAAAAGGTCTGTGCTGACTTCTGGGCCCCGACATGCAGCAAGTACTCGTAGACGTACAAGGCTAGCCTGTGGGAGAAACGTGTTGGACATGTCAGCTCCATTCATTTCCCAACATCCAGTCAGATCAGAACCAGAACCATCACCATCACATTTCTATCTACAAAGAAGGCTAAAAGTGATATTACAGGGATGCATCATGTCATAAAATGACAAATTAATAAATAAATCACACAAAGAAGGCAAAGAAAGTGAGGGCCACAGGTGAAAGGCAAAGTTCCTGCAGCTGAACCACAAAGGCACAAACAAGCAGCATGTTTCATTCAGTTTTCCAGCACTTGGCCCAAAATAAAATAAATCCCTGGTGCTGAATTCACTCTCGCAGTGCTCATAAGGGTCCAGGTGGACTTCAATTAGCACTGTGGGTCCTAAAGGAGTTCATTCGACTCAACACTGCCAGCTCCAAGCAAGGCAACAAACCCAAGAGAGTGAGGAGCAGCAGCAGCAACAACAACACAATCAACTGGGCATTTTTCGAATTTCCCCGTTCCACCTTAAATGGTGCAGCAGTTCCATTCTGGCGCCTCGGGCGCCAGAATGGAACTGCTGCACCATTTAAGGTGGAACGGGGAAATTCGAATGAGAAGCTGGCGAATAAGCAGCCAACTTCAGGCTTGTCATTAAAACAAGTGAGAAATCTCCAACCACGGCTTACTTCTCCCTCGCTTGTCCGTCCGATGGCACCACGGTGCCCTTCCCTTTGGCGAACATGACTCGCTGTGGCTCCACAACAGCGTCCGTCCGCTTGTTTTCTCAGGCTCCAGCTGTCACCGTGCTGCCCGCTGGTGACCCCATCCTACTGCGATAATGCTCTTCAACCGACCCTGGTCACATACACTGAGAGAGAGAGGGGCAGAGCGTGGGCGGAGACCCGCATGATTGACGCTCGGATCCACCAATGAGAGCCGTCTGCATGACCTCACACCGCGCGCCTTATTGCCCTACAGGTTATTGTTATATGCAAATCGCGTGCATCCTCATGCAACAGCCTACTTGGCTGTGAAGGGTCGGTTTGTGCTTGTTTTGCTATACATGTGAGGACCTACATGTGAGGTCTTAAGTGAAGGGAAATGTAAACAATGACTTCTTACATGTTTTTACTTCATAAAGTACAATATAACCTTCCTTTATGAGTGTAGCGATGCATGGTGCACGCGTGTGGCGCATTTCTTCGTCTGCAGCGCCATCTGCTGGAAGCAGGAATAACTGGATTTGTAGCTGGCTCTGCTTGAAGGGGAAGTTCATCGTTTTTTAAAATTTGAGTGGTTGAGGGCTAAGCAAATACAGTCATTTTATTTACCATCCACTGAACATATATATGTTTTAGACGTAATGTGGATGATGGTAAAGTAGTGTTTTCTTTGGGGACTATTTTTCCTTACACTGTCCTTCATGTAGGCTATATCTCCACCCTGCGCCCGTGCTGAGAAACAGAAACCATTAAAGGTTTCTGCTGATTTCTGGTGGTGTCCAATAGTCACTAATGGTGTTTTGTGTTTTCCTGATGGGTTGACATCACAGTGTAAAGGAGTCTAATGGTTTAGTGGGTGTTCTGGGGCAGATTCTAGATGCATCTAATGTTTCCTAATTGTCTTTTTTCCAGCAGGGACGTCCTTAAAAAGTATGTTTCAGCCCTAAATCTTAGCTCAGAGCCATTAAACAACAAGCTCTCATCCATTTCATAACCACTTTATTTAATATTTTTCTCCTCTTCGGACGTCTGGTTCCTATCACCACTGATGTGAGCAATTCTCACTCGGTGCGTTTCTCTAGAACCGAGCGTTTCACATCAAACCACTCTGAATGAGTTTGCTTACATCTTAATGACTATCTGTGCAGAAATTTTGAAAAATTGGTGGAATCCCCCTTTAAAGTAGAGTTTGTTCTCCCTTTGCTGCAGTAACAGGCTTTACTCTTCTGGGAAGGCTTTACACTAGATGATGGAACATTGATGTGAGGATTTGATTGCATCCAGCCACAAGAGAAATAGTGAGGTCAGGCACTGGATCACTCCAACTCATCCCAAAGCAGTTCCACTGCTCCACAGCCCAATCCTGGGGGGCTTTATACCCCTCTAGCCCACGCTTAGTATTGGTCAGTGCTTTTCTATGGAGGTTACACCAACCAGCCACAACATTAAAACCTTGTTTCTACACTCATTGTCCATTTTATCAGGTCCACTGTCCAAATAGGAGCTCTTTGTAGTTCTACAGTTACGAAGTGTAGTCCGTCTGTTTCTCTGTATACTTTCGCCTTTCACCCTGTTCTTCAGTGGTCAGGACCCCCACAGGACCCCCACAGAGCAGGTACTATTTGGGTGGTGGGTCATTCTCAGCAGTGCAGTGACACTGACGTGGAGGTGGCAGTTTGAAATTCCAGTGCTGCTGGAATTTTAAACATCTCAGTGTCGCTGCTGGACTGAAACCAAAAACGTCCAGCCAGCAGCGTCCTGTGACCACCGATGAAGGACTAGAGGATGACCAACACAAACTGTGCAGCAGCAGATGTCTCTGACTTTACATCTACAAGGTGGGCCTAGAAGGTAGGAGTGTCTGATAGAGTGGACAGTGAGTGGACACAGTGTTTAAAAAGTCCAGCAGCACTGCTGTGTCTGATCCACTCGTACCAGCGCAACACACACTAACACACCACCACGTCAGTGTCACTGCTGAGAATGGCCCACCGCTCGAATAATACCTGCTCTGTGGGGGTCCTGTGGGGGTCCTGACCACTGAAGAACAGGGTAACAAAGTACGCAGAGAAACAGATGGACTACAGTCTGTAACTGTAGACCTACAAAGTGCTCCTATAGGGTCAGTGGAGCTGATAAAATGGACAGTGAGCGTAGAAACAAGGAGGTGGTTTTCAGACAGTACTCAGCTACATTACCACCGTTTAGTGTAGAAGTCTGCGGTTTCCGTTTGAGACGTGCCCTGGACAGAGTGGGCGGGGTTTTGCTGCTGCGTAACGCGGTGGGCGGGGTTTAACCCTACGCACGTCGCGCTTTGGCGGACCTCCGTTTGTTGACGCCTCGAGTTTGAGTGTCTGACGTTGAATGATGTCTGTTATGATCGGTAACTGTGACAAGTCTCAAAGCTGATCACCGTCATTGGAAGGTAAGTTCGTTCTTACAGCACATAGAATTAGTACAGTATTCATTTTTGTTTACGAAGCTAAGCTACAGCCTCTTTTTTCGAATTCCCCGTTCCACCTTAAATGGTGCAGCGGTTCCATTCTGGCGCCTCGGGCGCCAGAATGGAACTGCTGCACCATTTAAGGTGGAACGGGGAATTCGAACAAGGAGCCAGTTTCAGGCTTGTTTACAGTGAAATTGAAATAAGCATCATTGCTCGTATTTTCAGAGCACGTGTGCGTCAGTCTGTGAGGAGTGGCACGTTAAGGTTTACAGTGAGTTGCATAACAAAACCAAAGAGAGAGAGAGAGAGAGACAGAGAGAGAGAGAGAGAGAGAGAGAGAGCAACGCAACTACATGCCGGAACGTGCAGAAGTAGAGAAGTTGCACTCGTTTCTCAAGCTCTCCCACAGTTAGTCCTTCTCCTAAAGTGCTCTGCAAACTTCTGCATGCACTAATATTTAGGTGCACATTTCCAAGGAACACCTTGAACCACTAATAAAACCCTGCTAGACAGTAAAATTCACCTGTGTTGCTCTAATGCAAACACTGTGCTGAGAGAAAAATGCCTGGCTTTTGTAAACATCTCTTATCTGATTGAACTCATATCTGATTGGACTCTTATCTGATTGAATCACAATATTTTTGTGCAAGATGTACAAAGTTCAAGCGCCAGCATAAATTGCAATGCGAATGCAGATTAAAATATATATAATAAACATTGAAAAAGGTTATAAAAGGTTTGAAATTGTTCTATGAAGGTCGCGTTTATTCAAGTAATCAACAACAGTCTGAAATCCAAAGCAGGGTCAGATGATGGTCTCAGGTGGTCCCTGGGCAGAAGAGTGTTTGGAGGCCCCCTGCACTCCAGATATGCAATAATGCTTAAAAAAAGACACAGAATGTGAGATTAAAGAATATTTCATGTTCATTTTTATGTGTATTTTAGTTGTTGTTTTTTTTGAGCTGGCTATTAATAAGGCTAATGTGATTATTTTCAAAATAAAAAAGTAGTATAAGTAGCCGTATTAATGTACAATATCCTATTTTTGTGTTTTCTCTTTTTCTTTCAAGCCAGACTGAGTCGTAATACAAACACTGAAGTGGTCGTACATGCATAAAAATCCTGCTTAAATGGCAACATATTTCATCAATGAATAATAATTGAAAAAAAAACATTTTTCAAGGGCTGTTCATTCACCCAATGTTTACATCTGCAGTGGATTGTCCCACACTTGGCTGTCAGAGGCCCCAGCGGCCCAGTGAGTAATCCATCCTCGACCCAGAAATATCCTGCCAGCAGTCTGTGGTCAGATTCGTCCATCAGATTGCCAGATAGTGAAGCGTGATTCATCAGTCCAGTGGTGGCGTGCTTTACATCGCTCCAGCCGACACTTGGCACCAGCATGCGTGGTGATCTTAGGCTTGTGTGGAAGCCCATTTCATTAAGCTGTCCATGTGCTGATGGTGCTTTCAGAGGCAGTTTGGAACTCTGTGAGTGATACAACAGAGAATAGATGATTTTATGCCCCGCTATGTGAGTTTGTATGGAGCTCCTAGACATTTCCCTCAATATTATTTCACAATAATAGCACTTACAGTTGACCGGGGCAGATCTAGCAGGACAGAAATTTCACAAACTGACTTGTGGCAAAGGTGGCACCCTATGACAGTGCCATGTTTGTCACTGAGCTCTTCAGTATGACCCATTCTACTGCCAGTGTTTGTCTAAGGAGATTGCATGGCTGTGTGCTTGATTCTATACACCTGCTGAAACACCAGAACTCAGTAAATAGGGTGTCCACATACTTTTGGCCAACCCATTCTACTGCCAGTGTTTGTCTGCGGAGATTGCATGGCTGTGTGCTTGATTCTATACACTTGCTGAAACGCCTGAACTCAGTAAATAGGGTGTCCACATACTTTTGGCGAAACTATTCTACTGCCAGTGTTTGTCTAAGGAGATTGCATATCTGTGTCCTTGATTCTATACACTTCCTGAAACACCTGAACTCAGTAAATTGGGTGTCCACATACTTTTGGCCAACCCATTCTACTGCCAGTGTTTGTCTATAGCGATTGCATGGCTGTGTGCTTGATTCTGTACAGCTGCTGAAACATCAGAACTCAGTAAATTGGGTGTCCACAATGCTTGATTCTGTACACCTGCTGAAACACGGTAAATAGGGTGTCCACATACTTTTGGCCAACCCATTCTACTGCCAGTGTTTGTCTATAGCGATTGCATGGCTGTGTGCTTGATTCTGTACAGCTGCTGAAACACCAGAACTCAGTAAATAGGGTGTCCACATACTTTTGGCCAACCCATTTGACTGCCAGTGTTTGTATAAGGAGATTGCATGGCTGTCTGCTTGATTCTATACACCTGCTGAAACACCTGCACTTAGTAAAGTTCAGACTGCCATTCGACCGCCAGTGTTTGTCCGTGGAAGTCCACATACTTTTTGCCATATATTGTATCCCCACGCATACAATGATGTGGAAACGAGTTTGCGTTTAAAATGCAGCAGTCTTGTAATGTCCTACTGCAATATGTTAAAGTGTTGTGCAACTGTTCACAGAAGAGGGAAGTGGGATTTGCCCCCCGGCCCACCATGACGTCAGACGGCAGCAGACCGCAGATGGAGCACGATGAGGCAGAGCTGATCATGGAGGATGGCAGAGTGTATCGTAACCCCACGGAGGTGAAGATGAGTCAGATTGTGCTGCCCTGTCACGCCAACCACCGCAAAGAGCTGAGCGTGGGTCAGCTGCTCAAATGGATGGACTCTACCGCCTGCCTCTCCGGTCAGTGAGTGAAGAGCAGAGGAAGTTCACTTATTATGCATTACTAAATATGAAAAATAAAAGGAGCAATGCTTTCGATCGCCTCTAGGAGTCTTTCAGTTTGCTGGATTATGCGAATGCCTCGATTTGTCCGAAAAACAGGCGTAATTGGTCCAGGTGTTATTAAAACACATTAAAACATTCAGTGATTGGTAAGAGGCTCATTTGCATATTGCACACTTCTCTTATAGTATTGTGAAGGCTGTTATGACAAGTAATATATTGTGCAGCTCTAGAATAAAGCAGAGTCTGCAACTGTACTTTTTAACATGCATGCAATTTTTTTCTATAGACTTCAGCATTATTGGGGTCAAAGTGGTTAAGATATTCCCGCCCCCTAATTATTAATAATGAATAAATTTCTCTACTGATGTAGTGAAGGGGCCAAATCTAGTGTACTGAATGGCTGTTATCTGGATAATGTTGAAATTGTGGATAACTGCAGTTTATGCCCTTCACATAATCTATTTTTGACGCTGGATAACATGCATTTTTTGAGTATGATTAATTGACAAGTTAGTAAAGCCCCCTCAGCGAAAGAGGAAAAGACTACTGATGGGGGGACAAAATGCGCTCTCAGATATAAAGGTATGAAATTGCCCCTCTTGTCACTGGGATGGTTCCCTCAAGGGTACATCTCAGTACCTTTAGTCAGGGAACATAACTGAACCATAATCCACTGAAATGATATGTTCTAAGATGTACTGACTCCACACACCCCGTCTCGTCTCCAGGCTTTTATTTTACTGTTCTGTTTTAAAACATTCAGTTATGAAAAGGTACGAATACGAACTTTTCACCTGGAAAAACTGTTTGTACTTTGATAAACGAAAAATGTACCTCTAAATGACTTCTAACAGTGTACTGGAGGAACTCAGGTACAGCTGGGTTTTAGTTTGTGAACAGTACAGTGAGCTTGTTGCAGCTACATGGTTTTGCATTTGCCTTTATAAGAAGTCCCCCGAGACAGATCAGGAAATACGGGTTATGACACTGTAATTGTGGGTAATATTTGAGAGAGCTGTTACCTGCCAGCTTGTAGCCAGATAAACTATAAAAAGAACCCCATCAGCGAATATATGTAATATAAAATTACACTCTAAAGAGTCATTGCATGAATGTGGATCTGTATTAATATTCCAGAAATATCAGTGTTAGTGCTATTAAAATATTCATATGCACTGTCTGTGTCAGCACACTGACCAGTTACTTCCATCTGGGGCTGTATGATATTTTGTTTGTTAATTGTTTTTGCAGTATTGGCCTTTGCAATGCTGACCAATCGAAACTCCAGATCATTAATCACAGAGTTTCTGTGGGTATGATAAACGAATGTATTCACTGAAGCCCGAGAAACAGTAATAATCAGTTAAACAGAAGAATAATATCCGTGTAAACGGCTGTATCTGATTACATTCCTTAAGTCCGTTCTGATCATGTTCGTCACGTCATAGTGAAAGTTTATACCGTTCAACATGGCGGAGCAGAAACTGGTCTGCAGAGGAGACGAAGTTTATGCTCTGATCTTTAAAAGACGGCGGTGGGACGGACGTCCAGCTTATGTGTCTCAGAACACGACGTCTTCCTCTCGGCCTTCTTTAATAAGGACATGTGAAGGACGTTTTCCTGAGTCTGACATCATTTTAAAGCAATTAAAAACACAAGCACTGCTCACTGCTGCTCATCTCACTCTGACTGGATGCTTGTTGTCATGGTAATGTCTACACTAATTAATCGGAATGAAGTCAGTCTGATTTCAGACTTTACAGAGTGACTAGCAGCAGCGCACGCTCACCATATTTTAGCCTGTTTATATTCTCCTCACTCAGTAAAGATACTAATTATAGTTTTAACAGCAAACACTTACATAGTGCAGCTTTAAGAACATAAGTTTCTGCTGTTTGTTTGAGAAGCATGACCATTCAGAACTGGTCATGAGAAGTTTTAGCTGCATTAGCTGGTCACAGATTTTTCATATCGGTCAAGCCCTGTTTACATTCGTACATTCATTTCATTGCTAGAGTGATAATTCGCTCCATTTGGGAGTGAGTTGTTTGAATAAAATCTTTCGTTCCTTTTTATTTTATTCAAATCCGACAATATTAATTATAAAAACCTAAAACATTGTCATAGAGATTAGTAATGAATGTTGTTCTGTTGCAGTTCTTGCTCTGAGAGAACAGTTACCCATGTACCACTTTAGTAAACACAGCTCAAAGCTCTCGGAGCCGAGACAGGATATCTCACTTTATCCCTCTCTCACTGCAGCCGAGAGACACGCTGGATGCCCCTGCGTCACGGCCTCTGTGGACGACATCCACTTCGAGCGCACCATCGGGTAAAAAACACAACAGTCTCAGTTCATGTATAGAGATACAACCATAATACTTCAATTCTGTGTCTAAAATTCTGTTATAAAAGATTTCGACAGTTTTTATTGTAAATTACTTTATTATAATTTACACTGAAAAGAAGGAATGCATTGAATTTACTTGATCTAAATGTGTACATCATTTTTTACATGAATGTACATCAACACAGTTATTGTTTCATTACTTATTAATTCAGTCACTAGTTCAGTGCTTGATCATTTTCAGTGTAATATAGATCATATTCCCACTTATGATGTATGTGGTATTGGATATTATGCCATTAAAACAGCCAAGTATAAAGTGTTGTAATGTTGCTGACTGAGCTAGACTCAGTATTGACCCGTGTAGCTGCTCATTACTGTGGGTGCCACTCAGTCGGAAGGAGGGACTTAATATCACAGCTTTGATTCTTAGTGTGAGTCAAGCATTGTAGTGATCGAGTTCTCCACGTAGATCACAGGTGCTGAAAAATCATCATCTGTATTACTGAAATAAATAAATGTACCGAATTGTTGCTAAAAGAAACTGTAAGACAAAAAAGGTTGTGGTTATATATGTTGTATATGTTGTATATGTTAGATATTGTCATATCAGCTTGGGCCAAACAGTACTTGTGTATTAAAATGTGCAGTAGTCTGTTCTCTGTAGAGGATGTGTTACTTATCTTTACTTCAATTACTTAAATCAACAGAACATGGAATATGACCAGGAGCGCCCAAACTTTTGCACATGACTGCATGTATAGATACATATGTATTGTAATGTATTTATTAAGTTTGGAATTGCTTGTCATATTTTTAATAGTTATTCAATAATATCTAATACTGTATAGGGTGAACAGTTATACACTAAATAGCCAAACAAAAAATGATGGTTTGTTTACTTTTTTTAAAACCTTTTGTGAACAAAAAGAAGTTGTAAAAAAGTTTGTTGTTAATTAATAAACTGTAATTATCTATTGTAAATAAATTCCTGACACAAAATGACAACGAATAGCTATTCTATCAGTGTGATTTGGTCACTGCTTTTCAAGTACTGGACGTTCTGGTTACTAATTTTATTGGGCAGTTGTATGCAAAAGTTTGAACACCCCTGGTCAAATTCCATGTTGTGTTGATTTTCTAAGTGAAGATAAGTGAAAACGTCCTCTACACTTAAATATGACATTTTCAGCACATTTTAGTGCACACATTTTGCTTATTTGCTGAGTTTAACATATTGGAAAAAATGAAACATGAAATATAAAATATGTACGTTTTTATAACGTTTATTTTGTTATTCAGTACTAATGTATACAGTGTAGCTTAAAGTGTTATAAACCAGACACCAAAACATAAACTAATGGTTTGTTCACAACTTAAATGAATCAGTGTTATTATTTAATAAACTGTTATAATCTTTTTACAGTAAGTTTTAAATAGAATAACTATGAACAGCTATTTGATGAGCGAGATGTGAGACTTTTCACATATTTTCACATTATTTAAGTTTACTTGATGCTATATAGCTTTCTGTTTATGGAATCTACAACTTCGTTCATAATTTTTTATTTTACAGATTCCTACAAATTGTTTGAAAGCTATAGGATAATCTATTCCTATAGAATAAGCATCGTATTAGATTCATATAATTTAAACATATATCTGCAGCTAAATTGGTTGATGTTATTGAAACCAGTGATTTTTGAATGCTTTTGTGTATCATGACTGCCAGAACAAAACCTTTCATTTTTTTATTTTTTGCGATTTATTTTACAGAATTTGGAAATGCCAGCTGCCTATTACGATGTATTTATATTTCATAATGATTGGATTAATAGAAATTCAATAACTCCCATTCAAAGCGATCCAAAGTGACGATACATTAATTTGATTTCTTCATGTACTGTGCGAGCTAGAACGTCAGGACTAGACTGATTAGTCACTGATTTCTGTTCTGTTTCTGTATATTTTTCGTTGTAGTGTTGGACAGGTGGTTAACATCAGGGCTAAAGTGAACAGAGCTTTCAACACAAGCATGGAGGTGAGAAATTATAGTTACAGTAACATTAAAGGACTCATATTGTGGAAAATTTAATTTATTTTTTTAATAAAAGGTTAATATTGTATATAAACATTGTTACGTTTCACAAAAAACAGCATTCACATATATCCATCTATTCAGCCTACAGCAGTTTTAGCTCCGCCCCATTCACATTGAAGTTATAAGTAGTGTTTCAGCATGTCCTTTGACTGAGGAACAATACAGGACAGCCAATCGGGACAAAACTCATTTACAGAAATCAGTCTTAAAGGCACAGTAACAAAAATTAATTCTGCAGGATAGCAGTTGGAAAATTAGAAAATCATGTAAAAATGATTTGTTTTTGGTAAATTTTCTAAAGGTTAACAGCAGTTCAGTAACTGAGACTGTGTCTCTGCCTCAGAGGAATGTATGAAAGGTTATTCCAGTCTGTGCCTCATATCTCAGTGACTCAGAGTAGTGTTTCCACTGTGTCTCCATCGTGTCCAGTGTGTCACAGCTGTGCTTGTGTTTGCGTGTAGGTGGGGATCGTGGCCAGCTGTGAGGATTTGTACAGTAACAGTCACTGGAAGGTGTGCCAGGCCTTCGCCACCTTTGTAGCCAGGAGCTCAGGCACAGAGAAGGTGAGCGCCGATACAGAGTCCTGATCACATTGTTTATAGTTAGACGGCATCCATACAACGTATGCAAATAAATTACACCCACACCTCAGTCCTCATTTCACTGTTTATGCTGTATCCAAATACAGCACTGTTCAAAAGTCTGGAGTCACCTGTCATAGTAATCACTTTTGTTATATAATAGACAATAATAATTAATTAAGCTGTAATGTTTTTTATCCCATAATTTCTCCCAAGTATTTTGGGACCATCAGTGAATTATTAAGAGAGAAAAAATAAAGTGACACGCTGGAATAAATAATACACTAATTTTAATTTATCTGCATCTTTTGAAAAAAATATGAGGCATTTTGGACATACATTTTATTGTAACTGCATTCTAGATAGTAATTCTATAAAACAAATTTTTCTGAATATTTTATGATAACTTCAATCTGGATATGAATTTTTTATAGCTTCAATCTGCATATTAATTTTTATTAAAACTTAATTCTGGGTATTCATTTTATTAGAAACCCATCCTGGATATTAATTTTCATTAGAATTTTATTCTTAATATTAATTTTATTAGAACTTCATTCTGGATATTCATTTTTATTAGAACTCCATTCTGGATATTAATTTTATTAGAACTTTCATTTTGGATATTTATTTTATTAGAAGGTAATTCTGTATATGGTATTTTTTCTATATTCATATAATACATTTTATATTCATTCTTCATTATTTTATTTTTTTAGATTTATCAGAACGCCATTTCGGATATTAATTTTCATCAGAACTTCATTCTGGATATTGGTTATAATAGAAATTAATTTTGGAAATTAATTTTATTAGATCTTGGTACTGGATATCATTTTTTAATTAATATAATTAATTTTACTTCATTCTGGATGCGAATTTTATTATAATCACAATTTTACTCTGGACATGTTTTTATTAAGCTGTAACTCAAAGAAATCTTGATGTTCTGCAGCTTTTCCATTGTTTGAGAATCCGCTACAGCTCTGTTTATCATTCTGGACGCGTCAAACACGTCTTCACTTTTTACAGCTTCCTACTAATTATTTGAATTCTATGAAGTTGCACAGGAGGAGCTAATTAGCATATTTTAATATGCACCCAAAATGTTTTTTCATAATTAGGAACACTGACTCAGAACAGTTTAGATACATATATATATATATATATATATATATATATACAGATCAGGCATAACATTCTGACCACCTCCTTGTTTCTACGCTCATTGTCCATTTTATCAGCTCCACTTACTATATAGGTGCACTTTGTAGTTCTACAGTTACAGACTGTAGTCCATCTGTTTCTCTGATACTTTGTTAGCCCCCTTTTACCCTGTTCTTCAGTGGTCAGGACCCCCATGGACCCTCACAGAGCAGGTACTATTTGGGTGGTGGATCATTCTCAGCACTGCAGTAACGCTGACGTGGTGGATGTGCGTTAGTGTGTGTTGCGCTGGTCTGAGTGGATCAGACATAGCAGTGCTGCTGGAGTTTTTAAACACCTCAGTGTCACTGCTGGACTGAGAATAGTCCACCAACCAAAAACATCCAGCCAACAGCGTCCTGTGACCACTGATGAAGGACTAGACGATGACCAACACAAACTGTGCAGCAGCAGATGAGCTATCGTCTCTGACTTTACATCTACAAGGTGGACTGACAAGGTAGGAGTGTCTAACAGAGTGGACAGTGAATGGATACAGTGTTTAAAAACTCCAGCAGCACTGCTGTGTCTGATCCACTCGTACCAGCACAACACACACTAACATGTCAGTGTTACTGCAGTGCTGAGAATGATCCACCACCCAAATAGTACCTGCTCTGTGAGGGTCCATGGGGGTCCTGACCACTGAAGAACAGGGTAAAAGGGGGCTAACAAGGTATGCAGAGAAACAGATGGACTACAGTCTGTAACTGCAGAACTACAAAGTGCACCTATATAGTAAGTGGAGCTGATAAAATGGACAACGAGCGTAGAAACAAGGAGGTGGTCATAATGTTATTCCTGATTGGTGTATATGTGTGTGTGTGTGTGTGTGTGTGTGTGTGTGTGTGTGTGTGTGTGTGTGTGTAATGGAAAGCACATTTTTATTTCTCTAATAAAGGTGGTTGTAATCATAATACAGCACTGATATATCTTATATGTGTACTCAATAATGTATATCATAATAATGGGAGATTCTTGAAAGTGGTCTGTAATGTGTTTTGGAATGAGAACCTGTATCACTAATCAGGTAGATACAGAGTAAAAGCCAGTGTTGAAGTTAATCTACAGTGCACACTTTAGGTGTAAACACTGGTGATTTTACTGCATAGCTGATAAGTATGAATGGCTAATTGATAATAGATTGATAAGTTAATGTCCCAGCAGGTCCACTTGAAGCAGTTGGTCCCTCGCACTCACAGAGAGCAGGTGGAGTACAGCGTGGCGGCGGAGAGACGCAGGATGAGGCTGATTCATATTGACATCATGAAAGATCTGCTGAATAGCACCAGCTTTCAGAGTAGCATCAATGAGGGTGTGAGCGGTAAGGGGCAGTTTCACTTCCTCTGAAGCTCCACACGTCCAGGATGAATGAGTCATATGGTATTACTCCAGTGCTAAAGCCTGGTTGTTATGTGGCTTTACTGAATGCGTCAGTGAAGTAGTGAAAGCAGGAGACCACAAGGTGTGTGTATATACAGCACTGTGCAAAAAGAGACCACCCTTTACTATTCATTCAGTTCATTCACAGTTAAAACAGCTATTATTAAGTACAAGTTATTCATTTTTAAGGAGATTTTGAGGAGGTTAGATATGTAAGAGAATTCACTTGCATGAAATCAAAAGGAAAATAATTAAAAAAACAGGAGTTTACGAAACTCATTAAGAGCTACAGAGAAAATGTGGCTCCTAACAACCACCTGGAAGACCTGATAGACACCAAAACTGCCCCCATCAGATAAACAGCACTTAAAGCTTTCATCTCTGAGAGAGAGGAGAAAATCAAGCTGCTTCAGATCTGAAAACATCCACAGGTGTTTCTGTCCATCCTTCCACTGTGAGAAGACGACTCAGCGCTGTGGGTCTGAAAGGATGTGTAGCTGATCAAGAAGAACCTCACTGAGAAAAGGAGACGGACACGTCAAACAAAGAAGCTGAATGATGGACTGACCACCCCAGCGTCCAGACCTCAACACCACTGAATGTGTTTGATTACTTCGGAAATGAACAACCAGCTTCTAAGACTGAACTGTGGAGGTGTGTCTGCAGATTCTTTGAGGAACTGAAAGTGAGTCTCCTGAAAAGAATGGAAGCTGGAATAAAGGGAAAGAGTGACGCCCTAAATACTGAAAATACATGTGAAATACTATGAAATATGTTTTCTGCTTTCCTGGCACTGAAAAATGAATAACTTGTACTTTATGGCCATTTTGGTGTGAAATTATATAAATGAAGGGTGGGCTCTGACTTGCTCAGCGCTGTATGTGTATGGGGAGCTAACACACTCTCTTTTATATGCCCACTCGCTCTCTCACATTTAGCAGGCTGAAGATTCTCCACTAGAGGGAGTTATTAGTTCTCATGTGGATTTTTATATGTGCACCATTGAAAGGGAGGAAACCCACACCAGTAGGATGTCACTAATGCACATACCCTGAGTTGTGTTTATTAGAAACACCTGCCCTGTATCTGCACTCCTGGGTCATTTTAACAGAAACAGCTGCAATATAGATGCACTTTGTAGGATTGTAGGATTGGTCCATTTGCTGCTTCTCAGTTTTATTAGCCCCCCATCTGCCCTGTCAATCAGTAGAAACACTGTCAATGCCAGTCAATGTCATGCTGTGCTGATAATGATCCACCACCCGACAAAATTCTGTTTGGTGGTGGTCCAATGGTGGTCCCTTTCTTATGACGGATGGGGTAACAGGTGGACTACAGTCTGTAACTGTAAAACTGCACCTATATGGTAGGTGTTTCTGATAATATGGCTAAATGAGCATGAAGTAAAAGGCCAGTATGTAAACGCAGGGTATATTTGAGAGTGAGGATACTGTAAGAGCAGCTGGGTTGCTATAGAAGAGTGGTGGTTCACATCACTTACACTGTGTCTGTTGGCTGCAGAGGGTCAGGATGAAGAGACGGAAGTGCCAGCTGAGAGAACTCGAGTGGAAAGCGTAGAGCTAGTTCTGCCCCCGCACGCCAACCACCAGGTCAGCACGTTTGGAGGTCAGATCATGGCCTGGATGGAGAATGTAGCTACCATTGCTGCCAGGTAACACCATATTAAATTCCAAAGTTCTCAAAATTTCTGCATAAATAAATGTTTAAGATGTAAACAAAGTCATTCAGAGTGGTTTGGTGTGAAAAACTCAGAGTCACAGTTGTTCACAGTGGTGGTGATGGGAACCAGACGTCTGAAGAGTTTAGTGTCTCAACACTACTTTGCAGAAAATGATTACATGAACTTAACAATATGCCGCTCAATGTCTGCGACATTGTGTTACGATAGTTTTGCTGGAAGGTTTTGGCCTAACTGGAATTTGTTTTTAATTATTAGCAGAGAGCTAGGCTACCTGCAGGTCGTTGTACGGCAAAATAGAGCCCATTAAAGTTATTGTATTCAGATTTCCCACCATCATCAACGTTACACATAACAACTCAGATGACACGTGTAGGTTTTACTAACAACACACTGGTGATTTTGAATTGTAAGTAAGACTGATCTATGTAAATGAGCTCTGTTCTGATTAGCTGTCCTGTATTGTGCCTTGTTTAAGTCCAGGTTGTCCAGGCTGAAACACTCTTTGTAACTTCAGCGTGAATGGGCGGGGCTAAACTGATGTAGGTTGAACATGTGGATATATGTAAATGCATTGTTTTTTGTGACATCACAGAAACAATGAATTCAAAATAGGCGGCTTAGTTTCCAGACAGTATGGACTGGGGAGTGACCAGTATGTTTTGAAATTTTTGCTGTGTTTATATACTATATTAAACTCTTTTTATTTAAAAAAATGCGTTTAGAATTCAGTTTTCCACAATATTAGCCCTTTAAAGAACAAATTTTATTTAAATTGGGGTTTTTGCTAATAGAAAGTACTGGAAATAAGCTAGCATGTTTCATGTGTTCATGATGATATTATTATAATCAAGTCTGACATTTCAAAGCAGTTGAATCCCCACTTTTTGCACTGATGCAGCACAATGTATTGAAGCATTTTACACCCTTGGATTAGTCCACAGAGTGTGAGCTTCAGATTTAAAAAAGGATAACAAAAATTGGCCAAAAAATCGTCCGTCTGCCTGGTTGTAAATAAATTGGAATCTGAATCAGCCATAAAAATTCATGATCGGTGCTTCTCTAATTTACACAGTAGTGAAATATAGACAATAAAAACAATACACCAAACATAAAGCTTGGTGTATCGGTTTTATTGTCTTTATTGTCTACATTGTTTTTATTGTTTATATTTCACTACCAAACTTTATGTTTGAAAATAGCCTGAGGATTTTATTGTGACCCAGAACTAGTACTTTATTGAATATTATCATAATCAGTTCTAACATTTCAGTGCAGTGAACTGCCACCTTCAGCACTGATGCAACACAATGCTTTAGATGAATTTTACACCCCTGTTAGATTAAGGGCACTAAATGCACAGCATTTCAGAATCAGTACAGTTCTCTGCAGTTCCATTAGTTAATATTTACCCACTTTAGTCACTCGGAAATGACTCAGCGGTCAAGGTTTGAACTTTTATCTGTAATAGTTCAAAACAAAGCTGAAAGGAACGGCATGTGATGTGGGTTTGCTTACTTTAAAGGATTTACATTAAAACAGTACAGTAGTGGTACACTTTTGTAGTTTAGGTTTATTCTCAGCTTTACTGAAGGAGATCTAACTTTTAATCAGAATTTCACCGATTTTTCTTTGCTCTGGCACTGATTAGCTGGTGAGTGTAAGAATATTACTGGAACTACATCCATAGTTTTGAGCACAGCTCCTTCAGTGTAAGGCTGCTTTCACATTATTTTCAAAGGGATGTGCAGCACAGACGGAGCAGCAAAAGTATAGGGTCATATAAAGTTCAAATGTTTCGCATTTTTGCATGACGCACTTCAAATCTCAGCACAGCCAATAGGAGAGCAGCAGGTCTGTCTGGTAGTTTCCTATATACAAAATTTTAAAAATTTATTTACATATTTTCAGAATTTGCAGTAGCTGTTTAGGTGAGCACTGTCTTTTTATCATGACGATTACAACAACATTACAACAACTGTAGGCCGTCAGTGCGGAGTTATAGGCTAGTTGTGAGCCTGGATGCAGCTTAATATTGTCTTTTAAATAAAAACAAATCTAAAGTTATAATTAATTTTTCATCAACTGTTGTATCTCCCACTGGATGTGCTTTCCCAGTGTGGAGTTTCACGGTGAGACTGTGGGAGTGACAGCCAGTTACAGTCAGCCTCTCTCACCTCATTATAGCATTGACATGTTCTGATATAAATTACCAGAAAAGTATATGGAGTATAAACTTCCACCACCCCAGTGCAAAACTAAAGAAGCAAACAGGCACCAAACATGTCTCAGCTGGTTGTCTACGTTTTGGGGTAAGAATTATTACTTCAACTAAAGCATTTAGCGATGGCTGAACCATTGTTTTTCTTATTTTTCTAGCCGTTTATGCAACGCCCATCCCACTCTGAGGAACATCGACATGTTCCACTTCAGAGGGCCCTCCCAGGTTGGAGACCGCTTGATCCTAAAGGCCATCGTAAACAACACCTTCAAGAACAGGTGAGTCTGTATTACAGGCAGCAGGTGATGGATTGAGTCCGCACTGCTGTGGCTCCTTATTTTGTGTTTAATCTTGACAGTATGGAGGTGGGTGTATGTGCGGAGGCGTATCAGGGGGAGGAGCCACTGAGACACATCAACAGTGCCTTTATGATGTTTGAGGTACTGGATGAGGAGGGAAGCCCACGCCCACTTCCTCCAATACATCCTGAACCCAAGGTGAGACCTTTAGATTTACACTGTAAGATGCAGTGATAGAGGAATTTCCACTTAAAAGAACTTTGCACTGGAGCTAGGAGGCTAATGTAGCTAACAAATAATGGAAGTCTATACCGAACCAATTAGCACTGCAAAAACAAGGGGAAAATTATGCAAATTTCAGCAACAATTCTGATGAGAATGTCCTGTAGACTGGGATTTTTGCCACTGCTGGTCGACCCGTATGACCGTGCGCTTCGATACATCTGCAAGTTCAGCTACTTCCTTCACACCGTGGCCTTTGGCTGCCCAAATGCAATCACTCTTTCTCGCCAATCATTAATATCTGCTTTGCAACCCATTTTCCACACAGCGAACGAGACATTCACTGCACTGTACCACCTTTTCTCAATCTATGAATCCCGTCACACACCACACAGGTATTTATAGCCCAGTCATCCTTGTGCAACACCATCTGCAGGAGCCTGCAAATTACTGCCACCTTAAACACACAAGGTGACTAATTTTTTGTCCGGGGAGTTTATAAAATAAGCTTATATAGAATAAAAACTTCTATATATGATCAAATATAAAACTGTCCTTATTACTAAGATCCACAGTTAATGATGTAAAACTAAATGAATGAATCAATTTATAGACAGGATTAAATGAAGGGTTTCATTGCAAAATGCATTATAGACCACTTTCAAGATTTATTTTTTTCATGATGTATGTTGTCGGGACTTTTACACATACAAGAAATATTAATGCTGTATTATGATTAATATCACCTTTACTAGAGAAATAAAAATGTTTTCTCCATTATATGCCAGCTAATATTCTTTTCAAAAACTTGTTATATCCAAAAATTGTTACAGATGGATGAACAGCATTTTGGAATGAAACAAATATTCATTTTGTCATTGACAGGATGGAAAGAGGAGATACCAGGAAGCCATTGCCAGAAAGAAGATTCGACTGGACAGGTAGTGAACTTAGACCAGCATCCCGAAAAAAGACGAGTCTGGCTGCCACACTGTCAGCTATCGCTGCTAACTGGTTACCAGGGAAGTGGGGGTGCTGATGATGCGGCAGCCCTAGATTTCAGGACTAGATTTAAGGCCCAATCCCATTTCACCCCTCGCCCCTACCACTGAGCCCTTAGCCCTCTGTTTTGCGCATTCACATCTAGGGGTAGGGTGTCCCAGTTCTTGTTGAGATAGAGGGGGAGGGCGAAGTGTTGGGGCTACATGACCCTCCAAACGCAGCTTTTTCAGAGACTCCAAACAGAGAGTTATGAGAAAAAAAGAAAAACCGGTAAGATGGCTGAACAAGAGACCAAAGAAACCCACAAATGTGAGAATTTTCTCTGTTAAAAAATTACTATAACCACTATATTATCTTAGTTTAATGTTGTTTCAATGTATTATGGTCGTTTTCTTCATAACAAGCATAAAAAATCACTAAAAGCATGCTAATGTCTAACTTTCCCATTCCACCTTAAATAGTCCAGCAGTTCTGATGCCTGAAGCGCCAGAATGTAACTGCTGCACCATTTAAGGTGGAACGAGAAAATACGAACAAGAAGCTGGTGAATATCTGACTTCAGCTTCATAACTCCAAAGAATTAGCGGTGGGTGATAATAAATAATTGCCCCCCTCTTTGAAGTCATATGATTCCCTAAATGTAACTAAAGCCCAGCAGTGAGGAGCTGAACTTACCCTCCTCTGCTGTCACTGCAGACTGGCAGGGTCGCCTACAGAGCAGCGCTAGTAGCTGTTAATGAAGTAATGCTCTTTTTATATGAGGGTCCCATTTCAGTGGGAAGATTTCAATCACTACCCCTTATAACTCAGTCCCAAGGGGTTAGGGTGACACTCGAAAACAAGGAGTAGGGTTAAAAATAAGAAATGGGTTTGAGCCCAACTCTAACTAATCACATGACCAGAAGAACAGTTCATGGAGTTCATGGAAGCTTCATAGTCGGAGGGGTGTCCTGTACTGTAAATACATTAGTTTTTTTATCAACTGTTATGTCTCCCGCTTGGTGTGCATTCAAGTGTTGAATCTCAGTGTGACTGTAGGCGTGACACAATCAGTGACCGCCGCCAAACATCAACAATCTGACTGGACACCACCCAACTCATCTGTATAAAGTTCAGATGAGGAGCGAGTAGAGAAATCAGGGTGAGCAGTTTGATGTGTCAGTTAGGTGTGTATATTGTCGTCTCTCGCCATGTTGTGACACATTATGATTCATTCTGTTGGATTTAAAAAAAAAACAAAACAAATAAACGGCAGAGTAGGAAGGACAGTTCAGAGCTACATCGCCGCCCTGTGTTCAAACGTGTAGCTACAGCACAAGCAGTGCATAACATTTAACTGTCTAATTGTCACCGTGGGAGCATATACTAACTGGCCACTTTATTAGAAACCCCTCCCATGTAGCTCCACCGTGCTGGTATACAGTTAAAGACTGTAGCCATCCTCTAATCCTTCATCAGTGGTCAGTTTCTGACCACAGAGCCACTCTGATTTTTTTGTGGGTTCACTCTCTAGCAGTGTCACTGATGTGATGCACTCATACCAGCATCACACACTACCATGTCAGTGTCACTGCAGTGCTGGGAATGGACCACCAGCCAAATAAAATCTGGACAACAGCAGTCATGTGGTCAGAAACTGACCAGTGATGAATGGGCTGATAAACTGTGCAGTAACAGAAGGGCTATGTAAAACCTACATCTATATGGCTGGTGTTTTTCAGAGACCTCCTTTCATTTTAACTTCTAGTCAAAATGTCCTTATTCATTTTTCAAAGTCAGTCAAAAAAAAGAAAAACGTATTTAACAAAAACTACCCAGAAGCCTCAACAATTCAAAAACTAATATAGAAATTTTCAGTATTTGTGTTCAATCTTTACCTTTATTACCATTTACATTCTTTTTTCCCCAATTATCTCCCCAATTTTGGTCGTATCCAGTTCCACCCACTATGTACACTCAATAACAACACACTCAGTTATGTTAGCCTTTAACACTTTTTGTGTCTTATTATTTTTTAAAACGTAACACAAAATGTGTTTGTCTCCAACTGAACACACTGATGTGTTTTTGTAACACATCTGTTTTTAGAGTGTAGGACTCCCCCAATAAGCACCACTGCATCTTTTTGAACTGCCGCTAACGCATCATCATTTGACAGCTGAACATGCTTGGACGAAATCGCCAACCCCCAGTTCTGCCAACAGACGCCTGTGCTGGCCAGCATAACGCTGAGTCATGGGGAGAGACGGGGGGCCCACTGAGAGAGAACAAGGCCAGTCGAGCTCTCCTGAAGGAGACGCACTTTCAGTTCCTCTAAGAAATCTTTTAAAGTGATACCTTTGGACAAAGTTCAGTCTTAGAAACTGGTTGATCATTTTCTGAAGTAATCAAACACATTCAGTGATGTTGAGGTCTGGACTCTGGGGTGGTCAGTCCATCGTTCAGCTTCTTTGTTTGATGTGTCCGTCTCCTTTTCTCAGTGAGGTTCTTCTTGACAGCTACACATCCTTTCAGACCCACAGCGCTGAGTCGTCTTCTCACAGTGGAAGGATGGACAGAAACACCTGTGGATGTTTTCAGATCTGAAGCAGCTTGATTTTCTCCTCTCTCTCAGAGATGAAAGCTTTAAGTGCTGTTTATCTGATGGGGGCAGTTTTGGTGTCTACTAGGTCTTCCAGGTGGTTGTTAGGAGCCTAATTTTCTCTGTAGCTTTTGATAATTTTTTGAACTCCAGTTTTGGAAACTCATGATTTTCGCTTCGACTTTCTCCCTCCTCATGCAAGTGGATTATCTTATATCTAATCTTTTCACAACAATTAATAACTTGTACTAAATGGGGGTCTCTGACTTTTGCATAGGTGAACGTAATAAAGTGAGTCATCTCTCATCCAATTGTGAGTTTAATGTATTGTCCATTAGGAGAAGGATCATATTGCATGGCTGATAAAGTCTCATACCAATGCTGGACAGTTGTCCAGGGACGTATTGTGTTATAATGAATGTGCGTCTCTTCTCACTAACCTGATCTCTTCATCCATGCAGAAAATACATCATCTCCTGTAAATACACTGAAATGCCCCTGTCTGTGCCCTGGGACCCCACTAACCAGGTACTGTGTCCCTCTGGACCTCTCTATATTATAAACTGAACGTATTATAAATTTTGAGTTAATTTTAACCGACAGTAATCAAAATATTACATTCTGCCAACACATTATTAGATGTTCAGTAAAGTCTGAATTGTAAGACAGATAGTCTTGCTTATCGCTGTTGTCGGAAAAAACCTTGTATCTTCATTTTTGACATTTTTCAGTTTTTGACATCATTTGAAAATACCTGTTGCCCTTTACATTGTATGTAAATTTCATGATGAATAGACTAAAAGAAACGGCCCAGAATGACTTGTAAAAACGCCTGGTTCCATTGACTTACATTAAAAGTAAAGTAGGTTTTTTCCTTCTCCTGTAAAGTTACCATTTTGAAGATACGAGGTTTTCTTCCGACAACAGCACTTGTTTTTTTTAAATAACCTTTCTCATAATTTTTGTATAGAGTGGTAATATGCAACCTCGATCTGTGGACTGCACACCTTGCACAATGTTTTATCTGATTTTTTCTTATCACTTGTTGATGATCTATATGAAATTGATTAGGCCAAGGACAGTCTTTGATGATCAGGCTTATAAACTGAATTAGCACATAATAAAAAAAACTCTTGAAATGCCTTCAGGTGTATCTCAGCTACAATAACGTGTTCGCTCTGAAGATGTTGGCGGCCAGAAATAAGTGGGTCCTCAGCTCTAAGAAGAACAATGTGAGTGTACATAATTAATGATCTTCATATGAACATCCATGCAGGGCCGTTCACTGCTATAAGCAGTATAAGCAGTTATTTAGGGTCCTTAAATCACCAGGGGGCCCTGATTATGTACTTTTTCATAATGTATTCAGTATCCTTTGTAAAAAGTGCAGAGTCCAGAGATTTTTTCCTAATCAGAATGAATTAAGTATTAAATTTTTGCTCTTGTATACAAAAGAATACATAAAATGTTGCTTAGGGTCCCCAGATGTCCAGAAACAGCCCTTTCACGATAGCTAACCACAGGTTTATAGAGTATAAATCCCTTAAACTCTAAGTGTCTTTATTAGGTCTACACTTCAGTTCCTCACTCTCACAACTACAGAACTTACACAGTAGTTTCATAGCAGGTACTCAATCATTTGTAGTAGTTACTGAATAATTCATAGTAGACACCAAATACCTTAAAGTAGTTACTGAAAAATGTATAATAGATATTGAAAAATTCATAGTAGATACTAAATAATTTATAGTAATTATCAAATAATTTATTGAGTTACTGAATATTTTATAGGAGATATTGAATAATTTATAATAAGAACTAAATCATTTTCTGTAGATACTAAATAGTAGTTACTGAATAATTCATAGATACTGAATGACGTATAGTAGACACTGAATAATGTATAGTATTTTCTAACTTTAATAGTAGTTACAGAATATGTCATAGTATGTAGTGAATAATTTATAGTAGATATTGAATAATTTATATCATACTGAATAATATATAGTTGTAGTTGGTTTGAATAATTTGTGGTAAATTTTGAAAGATTTATAGTATTTACTGAATACTTGATGGTAGTTACTGAATAACTAATTCTAGATACTGAATATAGTAGATACCAAACAGTAGATATTGAATAATTTGTAGTAGATACTACATAATTAATAGTAATTATTGAGTAATTTGTAGTAGTTACTGAATAATTCGTAGTAGTTACTGATTATTTAGAGTAGATACTGAATAATTCATAGTAGATACTGAATAACTTATTGTAGATACTGAATATTTAGAGTAGATACTGAATAAGTCATAGTAGATACTGAATAATTTATAGTAGACGCAGAATATTAAGTCTTAAGACTAATAACTGATTAATAAGGCTGCAGTTAAATCCACAGCTTGTTTGATATCAGCCTTTTCTCTGTTTTCAGGTAAAGCTGTACACCTTGGAGGAGAATCAGACGCTGAGTTTTAGAGTTGAAGCTGAGGTGAAAGTTCCAGCAGCGAGAGCTTTCCTCCTGCTCTCTGACCTCAGCCGCAGACCAGAATGGGACAATCACTACAAGTATGACCTCATTTACACTGATGTAAAAGCACTTTCCAGTGTTTCTCATGCATTAAAGGAATACTCCATCATTCTTCAACCTAATCTGCATCAGCTGCATCTGTATAGTACTATCAGCTACAATAGACAGTCATTTCAGTTTTTTCTATGGACTTGAAAGTCATATATAATAGACGTTAATGAGCATTTACTGAATTCTGTGAGTGAATGGTTTAAATATGTGATTATATATAAGCAAATTCAAAACTACCACCTTTACATTGTAAGAATAGAGATGAAAAAAGAGATAAACATGAGAGGATGTTTTACCAAAGTCTAGGAAGTTTTCTCCAGCTTTTAAACTCTGAAGCAACACTGTAAACAAGCTTTTACACAAGTTTTGGTTGCTTTTGCTTTCAGGGTTTCTATTATCCATTTTGATCAGGCTATGAAAAATATAATAGTCTTTGTAGCCACTTTGATGCTAATTTCTCTGTGTGGTTTGCCGTATAATACTAGCGCCAAGCTAAATGCAGTGCATCTTCGCAATGTCATATTTGTTTGCAAACTTTTCCATTATCAAACTTCCCTTCTAAAAACTAGTCCCATCTCTGAAAGAACAAACTATACAGGTTTACGTCTTAATTCAAAAATACTTTTGACTGAAAAATTTTATAGAATTATGTGATAAAAATGTATGATGGAATTCAGCAACTTATGAGTGAATTTCAAATCGATGGAATTTCTGTTCAGGGAAACTATGAATTATTGTCAGTGGTAATCGACCATGTGCTACGGATGCAGCAGATAGACATTAGGTTGAAAAATGCTGGAGTGTTCCTTTAATGCATATGCCTTATATCCACCTATCCACCTGTCCACATATACCCACCTTCCCTTAATCCCTTATATCCACCTATCCACCTATACCCACCTTCCCTTAATCCCTTATATCCACTTATCCACCTTACCTTAATCCCTTACATCCACCTATCCATCTAAATCCACCTTCCTTTAATCCCTTATATCCACCGATATCCACCTCCCCTTAATCCCTTATATCCACAATGCTTTAATCCTTTATATCCACCTATCCATCTATATCCACCTTCCCTTAATCCCTTATATCCACCTATATCCACCTATATCCACCTTCCCTTAAGCCCTTAGATCTATCTATCTGCCTATATCCACCTATATCCACCTTCCTTTAATCCCTTATATCCACCGATATCCACCTCCCCTTAATCCCTTATATCCACCTATATCCACCTCCCCTGAATCCCTTATATCCAAAATCACCTATATTTACCGCTACTGTTGTGTCCAGGCAGTGTGAGCTGATAGTGCCGGTTGATGAGGATGATCTGATCTACCGTGTTCTCACTCCCTCGGTCAGTGAGGGGGGAAAGGTCCAGGACTTCATCTTGCTGGCCTCCAGGAGACCACCCTGCGACACTGGGTGAGCAAAAATGTGGAACTTAAAGCAAAAGGTTCCTAAAGACTTCATTGTTTTCCTAATTTGTGTTTAACGGCATGCTTGTGTAATCAGGGACCCATATGTTGTTGCCCTGCGGTCAGTCACCCTCCCCACACACCCCCCCACTGACGACTTCAACAGAGGAGAGGTGTTCTGTGCTGGATTCACCATTTATGAGGTCTCCGAAAGTGTTTCTAAGGTAAGAGCTGTGGAAGAACATGTCCTGATCCACAGACCAAATAATAATTAATAATTACCCTAATAAACATCTCCTTCTCCAAGCAGTGTAGTTAGCATTAGCTGTAGGCTATGGATGCCAATCAACATAATATCTTGACACATTAATATAAGATGTAATTGATGTGCGTCTAGTAATGTGTATGTTTAATGGATGTTATCTGTTAATTTACAGTAGCTTCAAATGTGGCTAAACCAATCAGATTTTAGGACAGATATTAGCCATTTCATAATATTCAGTAAACACTATGAATTATTCAGTATCTACTATGAATTATCATTAATTATTTAGTATATACTAAAAATATATAAGTTAATTATTCAGTAACTACTATAAATTATGCAGTACCTACAACGAATAATCCAGTATCTACTATGAATTATTCAGTATCTACTATGAATTATTCAGTATATACTATATACATATAAGCTAATTATTCAGTAACTACTATAAATTATGCAATATCTACTATAATTCAGTATCTACTATGATTTATACAGTATCTACTATAAATGATTCAGTAACTTTTATTGATAATCCAGTAATTACTAGAACCTATTCAATTTCTACTATTAATTATTCAGTAACTCAGTATATTATTGAGTATATACTGAATACTTTTAATAGCTACTGAATAATTCAGTATCTACTATGATTTATTCAGTATCTACTATGAATGATTCATTAACTTTTATTGATAATCCAGTAAATACTAGAAACTATTCAATTTCTACTATGAATCATTTGGTATTTAGTATATTATTCAGTATATACTGAATACTTTTTAGTAGAGGCTGAATGATAGTCATTCAGTATCTGCTAAAAAGTATTCAGTGTCTACTATGAAAGATTCAGTAACTTCTATAAATTTTCCAGTAATTACTATGAAATAAACGTGTAAGTTATGTTGTAGTATGAAATAGTGAGGAATTGAAGTGTGGACCACATGCGGACCCTTGACTCTTTATTGAAATCTGCTTTTCTTTTGTCCTAATTTTGTTCTCAGATTAATTACTATAATCAGACCAATCCGGGGGTGTTGCCTTACATCTCCACAGACATAGCTGGACTGTCCTCCAGCTTCTGTTCCACCTTCCTGTCCTGCAACAAGTTCCTTCTGGAGAACAGAACCGGAACTTCTGTCATTTCTAATGCTGCACTGTAGCGTCTGTAGCTGCTCTTACAGACTGTTTACTCATTTTCTACAAAGAGAACACTAACGGTGTGCTTTGGGCATTTTTATGGGCTGGTCATTTTGGCCAATATGGGAAAACAGTGCTTTTGTGCTTATGAAAATATCTCATGCTGAGAGATTGAAATGTTTTATGAGGGAATTCAGAAACTCAGTTTACATATCACTCACGATGATTCTGTGTGTGATCCTGTTTGTTTTTATTTTCTGTGCCTAGGGCTGGGCGATAAAACGATAACGATAATTATCGCGATATAACTTTTCCTTGATAGAGCAATACGACATGTTTGATAAATGTTCGATATAATACACCACTCTCACACCTCCACGTTCAGCGAAAGCCTTGGTGGCGTTTTCTACTACAAGGAAAGCGACATTACTGTGCTGTCGCCAATAGAGGGCGCACTTCCGAGTTTTTCTACATGATTAGAGAGGGAGGGGGCCACGAGAAAGATGAGTCTTTAGCAACGGCTGAAACGCGGAGTTATACATCCCCTGTTTGAGTGGAGCGACCGGCGATCTGCTCTCCTGTGACCGAGTGTGAGTGATGAGGTCAGTGGTGTAACTGTACTGTCCTACAGTGAAATCACTTCCATCATAACATCGTAACCAGCTTTAGCAGCGTTAAATCACAATCTTCACAACTACAGCGCTGTTGCAGCGCTCGGACAGTCATATTTAAGTATTAGTGCATTCCCAAGCAACGAAAGTGAAAGAAAGAAGTGGGTTCATCTAAATTACAGCCCTGATTTAAACGAAAGTAAACTGAGGAAGCTGTGAGGCGTTGGAGAGCGGGAGAGCACTATCTTTCCAGGCTAGCTGTTTTTAGCAGCTGGCTAACTTGAAGCAGCTCTGTCACTCGCACAGCACGGCGAATTGATGATACTGTAGATTAAACAAGACACAAAAGCACTGCTTTCAGTTTAAACGTACCTAAAAGGAGGACTCTGTTTGTCTGGTGTTGATATTTTGCGGTTCACCCCTTAAACTACTACGATAGTATAGAGAAATCCAGTCGTCGCTAGCTGACACTCTCTCCCACTCTCCCATGACAGATCTGTGAAATGTTCCACTGTTTGGTGAGTGTTTGTCGTGTTCCGACCATAAAGGACAGTTTTAAACAGCAGTTAACCCCCCAGGACCAAAAATCAGCCTTCAAACTTGAAAGAAATAATGTTTTGACATTTATCGCGGTATGTATCGATATCGAACGATATGAATTTTGTTTATCGTGATAACAATTTTGGCCATATCGCCCAGCTCTATCTGTGCCAGTGATTCTGTTAATGAACATTTTACATAAGACTGAAACATGAAATAATATATTTTGGTGTTATTGGTGTAAAAGGTTTTTAAAGGGTTTTTAAATCTTAAATAATCAGATTGCTAATTAGCAATTTTTCATTTTAAACTCTACACTGTTTACATAAATTTTGTTCTTGAGTACTGAACCTTAAATACACATAATACAACATCTTAGCAATATTTACTGTGGCTGCTCTAGGTACAATTTTCATACACTTATTTATTCAATTCAAGCCGATGCAGAGGTGCCTTAATTCAATATAATTTTTGATACAGCAATAATAAGAAGTGGCTGTAATTGTCCATTATGTTAATAATGTTTGCTTTTTTCAGATTATTTGAGTATTCAAAATGATAAAAGTACATCTGACACAGAAGTGCTTTGTGGTGTCCCGATCTAATGGTCAAGCCACATGTTGATGTATTAGCCCCAAGCTAACACACTAGCCACATGCTGTAATGCTAGTGATGATAAAACATTATGATGCATTACAAAATAATATACTGCAAAAAATGTCAGTACAATATGTTTTATTGTTACATCCTTAATTTGGACGTCAATAAATTCATTTGAACATGTTTAACTGATGATATCTTGCACACCAAATGCAATCAAATGCATTCAGACAGCAAAAGCACAATATTTTGTTTGCCTTTTCTCCGATGATATGAACTCTGAACAATCTGAAAATTTGAACAATCACTGTTGTCGAACTCTGGCACATGACTGATCAGCTGTATCCCAGTAATAATGTTGGCAAACATTTGTCTAATGCGTTGTCTTCGAAAGCATCTTTAGCAGAGTTATGTAAATTACAGTTGTGTGCACTTCTGAATATTTAGCATTTTTGTGTCGTAATTTGTGTCAAATTCAGTGTGTTTGGTGTCCTTTAGATGAAGGGAATACATACATTTTATCACAAGATTTTCTGCAAAGCAAATTGTTTTTGCACTGTGGTGGAGTTTTTTTCCCCAAAGATATGCTCAACATCTATTTAGCGCCACCATGTGGCCAAATTATAAAATGCTGATTTTTAAAGGAGCCAAATTAGGCAGTTTTTGCCCATAAATGTCCTTTTTTCTAATATTAATGATGAATATTTTGTGATATTTAAAAAGTCCAGTTTGGTCCATTTTGAAAAATGAATATTGCCCAACTCTAGTCAGACAGCCTTGCTATTATGGACCCTATGCTTTCGGTATGTTGTAAAAGGTTCTCTGTTTATTCCATTCATGGACGGACGTCAAACTCTGGGTTCCATCTTTAAGTTCTTCCTTCCCTGCCTTGTGCTCCACTGTAAGAGAAAAACGTGACTGGCTTTGAAGTAGCCTTCCAAGTCCATCCTTTGACCTCTCCAGATGGTCAGCCTGCAGCTGCAGTGAGACGTCCTGCCAGGTTCCCTGGAAAAGCTCTAACATGTCCTCCACCAGCTGGGGTGTGTAACCCTGATGAAGAACCTCTGGAGGCCAACTCGGAGCTATAGTCACATACGGAAAGTTCTGGTCAATGGTCCTCAGAAACTCCTGGCCTGTGATATAGCCTCGAACGCTGAAGGCTCCATGAGCCACATCCATGTTGACCCAGGTTGGGTGGTACAGTAGGTCGTTATCGTAGGCCTGCCGAAGTAACTGCAGTGAGACGGCCAGTTGGCTTTGAGACTTGACTCTCAGGTAGATGCCCCATGGCTTTTTGGAGGCCAAGATCAGCGCCAAGCAGTCTTGTAGCGGCAGCTCTGGCTGAGAGTCCTCAACCACTGGAATCTTTGGCGTTCCTGAGCCAGATATTACCGGAATCACAATCATCCCACCAGGGCTGTCTACAAAGAAAAGCTTCTATTAATATTTAAGGAAATAAGAAAAAATGGTGAAAAAATTTCCTCCTTACCGAAACACAGTTGATGAGCCAAGACAGTGGTGTCTGAAGTTTGCTTCTGTAGTTTTAGCACTGGAGCTAACGTAGCTAACAGTGTCAGATTAGCATCAATTAGCATAAAGTGTCTCAAACTGTGTAAAGATGCTAAGTAATAGACTTGCATGTTGCTTCCAAAACTGTATGAATGTTATCTATAAAAGTGAATGAAAATATGGACAAAATTCAGGCTTCAAAAAGGCACTTACTACTGTTTTTAGCTGTGCGTCTTTCAGAGCAAGTCTATAGCAAAAATAACACGTCTGTGAGAATGCTAATTTCTCCTAGCGCCCTTATGATGTTCTAGTAGTATGTTAGCACTAAGCTAACAGGAATTTACATGAACTTTGGCCATTTTAGACAAAACTTTCCAGTCTATCGTATGTTTTACCCTGTAGTTCAGTAAAGAACCCTGGCATACACTCTTTAAAAAAGGTGTTTCTTCAAGGGTTCTTTAGTAAAGAGAATGGTTCTATTATCTGTCTATTTTTTTAACTGGCTCTATACAGCACCACCAAAAAGCTTCTTCTATTGTTACAAGCTTGACATCGTAACACTTTTTGATGCTATATAAAACCATTTTCGAAAAGGTTCCATATAGAACCATATACAACACATTCTCCATCAATCTGAAGAACCATTTCACCATGAGAAGAAGCATGAAATGGTTCTATAAAGGACTAGGGTTAGGGTTAAAATTAAAATTCAAATTAAAATCATTCCCATTAGGGGAATGGTTCCCAAAAGGAACCATCTTTTTTTAAGGGTGTAGAACTAAAATTGACTTAAAATTGACTTTGAAATCATTTAAGGCCCTGAGGGTTCCTCAGTGAGTTTGTACACCGATCAGGCGTAACATTATGACCACCTCCTTGTTTCTATGCTCATTGTCCATTTTATCAGCTCCACTTACTATATAGGTGCACTTTGTAGTTCTACAGTTACAGACTGTAGTCTATCTGTTTCTCTGCATACTTTGTTAGCCCCCTTATACCCTGTTCTTCAGTGGTCAGGACCCCCACGGACCCTCACAGAGCAGGTACTATTTGGGTGGTGGATCATTCTCAGCACTGCAGTAACACTGACGTGGTGGTGGTGTGTTAGTGTTGTGCTGGTCTGAGTGGATCAGACACAGCAGTGCTGCTGGAGTTTTTAAACACCTCAGTGTCACCGCTGGACTGAGAATAGTCCACCAACCAAAAATATCCAGCCAACAGCGTCCAGTGGGCAGTGTCCTGTGACCACTGATGAAGGACTAGAGAATGACCAACACAAACTGTGCAGCAGCAGATGAGCTATCATCTCTGACTTTACATCTACAAGGTGGACTGACAAGGTAGGAGTGTCTAATAGAGTGGACAGTGAGTGGACACAGTGTTTAAAAACTCCAGCAGCACTGCTGTGTCTGATCCACTCAGACCAGCACAACACACACTAACACACCACCACCACGTCAGTGTTACTGCAGTGCTGAGAATGATCCACCACCCAAACAGTACCTGCTCTGTGAGGGTCCATGGGGGTCCTGACCACTGAAGAACAGGGTAAAAGGGGGCTAACAAAGTATCAGAGAAACAGATGGACTACAGTCTGTAACTGTAGAACTACAAAGTGCACCTATATAGTAAGTGGAGCTGATAAAATGGACAATGAGCGTAGAAACAAGGAGGTGGTCATAATGTTATGCCTGATCTGTGTATAATGCTAATAGGGTATAAATGTCCATTACTTGTTAGCTAGATTAGCCTTGCAGCTAAAGTGCAAAACAAAAGAAGCAAACTCAAGCCACTCAACACGTCCTGGGAACAGTGTTAACGAAAAATCGGTGTCAATTCAATTCTTCTAACATTGAATTTGATCTGTTTACTGCTTTATTCACAGTCAATCTCTTTCTAATCTGTCATACCTTCGAGTAAAGAGAGCAGAGAGTCTCTATTGGTCACAGTCTCCCACAGGATGTTTAGGCCATCGCTGTTCGCAGGCTTGAAATAGTCCACTATGTCCCCACCTGGGTAGAACCTTCTGGCTCTGTCTTTCTGCTCTGAGTGGTGCAGGAAATCAGCATTAGCTACTGTATAGAAGACAGGATGGGGTATAAAGGTTTTTGATGGCACTCACTGGCAGCCTCTTTGAGCTGGGACAGCACAGGCTCATAGATGTCGTAATAGATGCGCTGAGGGTTGCTGTTGTCCCTGATGAAGAGAAGGTCATTCAGAGTTGGGTTGTCCTCCCCCTGCCACAAGGTCAAACTGAACCTGGAACACACCAAGAGTACATTATATAATGTAAATAAATGTAAAATGTGCATGAATGTGGTATAGATGGTTCTACATAGAACCTTTTTTTTGAAAAAGGGTTCTATATAGCACCCAAAATGGTTCTTCTTTTGCTACAAGCTTGACATTGTAACAATGGAAGAACCCTTTTGGGTGCTATGTAACACCTTTTTCAAAAAGGTTCTATATAGAACCATCTACAGCACATTCTCCATCAATCTGCAGAACCCTTTTATGATGCAAAGAACCCTTTTTTATCCTAATCTAACTTTTAATTTTTTATTTGATTATTTAACCATCATAATATAATTTCTAATTTGATTTTTAATTCAATGCTTTTCTCTTTTAAATTTATTATTTTGATCTTGTTCTAATTAGGTTTTTAATGTTGTTTTTAATTAGGTTTTTCTGTTTGCATTAACTTTTTTTTAAACAACTCTGTTCTGCACTTTGAATGACTGCAGTGTATGAAAGGTGTTATATAAATAAACTTGCCTTGCCTTTAATCGCGCAAATGGTTCTTGGAGTGTTCATGGTTCTCTATAGAACCATTTTCCACCACAGAGCAGGTGTTATTTAGGTGGTAGGTGGTGGTTGGCTGGATATTTTTGGTTGGTGGACTATTCTCAGTCCAGCAGTGACACTGAGGTGTTTAAAAACTCCAGCAGCACTGCTGTGTCTGATCCACTCATACCAGCGCAACACACACTAACACGCCACCATCATGTCAGTGTTACTGCAGTGCTGAGAATGATCCACCACCCAAATAGTACTTGGTCTGTGGGGGTCCTGACCATTGAAGAACAGGGTAACAAAGTATGCAGAGAAACAGATGGACCACAGTCTGTAACTGCAGACCTATATGGTAAATTTTCATTTTTTTTTCTTTACCATGCTCTACACTTGTTTCTGTGAGTGAGCACTTGTGTTATGTGAAAATGTTAGAGATATAAAATTCAGCAGGATAGACAATCAAATAAAATTTAATTGGGAAATGTTTCCAAAATCCCCAAGTGCTAAAGTACCTGGAAGACTGGCTGAGGAGCCAGCTGAGATGTGGCCATCCATTCTTGACCATGACTGCCAAAACAGGAAAGGTGATTTTCTGGGGAAGGTGTTTGACAGTGTCATACATTTCCTCCACCATGGCCTGGGTGTATGTCACATTGGGGAAGAGGGGAATGTAAAGAACCTTCCAGCCTGGTGAAATGGTGACATCTGGAAACTTCTTCTGGATGAGGTCCAGGAACCTGGTGGGTTTCAAGGAACAGGCAACTGCTGAGATACCAATCAGAAGACTATTAACAACATGGTGTCTCTGAACAAGATCATTCCTTCATGGCTACAGTTCAGGCTTATTCAGATGAACACTTGAAATATGTTACAAGGCACATATCTTCATTGGATGGTTCCAAGAACATTGCTTCCATGGCCTATGCATTCCTGGATCTCAAGCTTACGGCGTGCTTTCAGGCTGTCATAGCAAGAACGAATTCACAACAACCACACTCTTAAAAATAAAGGTTCCAACATGGTTCTTTGACAGTTCTAGGAAAAACCTTTGATTGATATAGAAAGTTTACATTATGTGAGAGTTCTTTAAAAGGTTCTTTACCCACACACCAAATTTGCAAACGGTTCTTTAAAGCTGTGGTTCTCAAACCCTTTACTCGAGGTTCAATAGAAAGGGATATAGCTAAAAATATTAACCATGCAGGGGGCCTTGAGGACTCATTTGAGAACCAATACTGTAGCCTCTTTCTGCAGCCCCCTAGTGGCCTTTCCATGGGCAGAACATTTACTGACTCCAATATCTTTAATTAATACAATCAAATAAAACATTATTTCCTGTAAGTCTACTATCGGATGAACTAGGACACTGTCGTCTCTCTGTATGTGAGTTGTTGTGACTATGTTGAGCTGCTAGTGAGCAATGAGGGGTGAAAGGAGAGGGGTGAGAACCCCCTTGCTATGACAACAAATCACACCTCCCCACAAAGACGACTGTGCCGTGATAAAGACGGACAACTGCAGCTTTCTGCAAATCAAACAATCCTGCACAACCGACACAACAAACAGCACTGAATAAAATACTTAGAGAAATGTTGACTTGCTTGCTCACCTACAAAGGCAAAAATCCAGTTCAGTTTTGTAAATCAAACACATTTTCAGTGAAAAATATAAACCACCAACATTATTGAAGAAAAAAGTGCATAGTTCAGAAACAGAGGGGCTTCCAAAACATTGCATTCCTTTTATGGCTACTAAGAAAAGATTTTAAAGAACCATGCATTGGAAAGCAGGGGCTCTAGGCCAACAACTACATTAGATTAGATTAAGTTTTTAGATAAAGTGACCCTTATTAGTCCCACAACGGGGAGGTTTCACCTCCACATTTAACCCATCCATGCACTGAAACACCACATACACGCTAGAGAACACACACACTAGGGGGCAGTGAGCACACTTGCCCAGAACAGTGGGCAGCCCTATCCACGGCACCCAGGCAGCAGTTGGGGGTTGGGTGCCTTGCTCAAGGGCACTTCAGTCACATACTGTTGGCTCAGCAGATCGAACCAGCGACCTTCCGGTCACAAGGATAGTCCCACGCCCCCCCCAAAAAAAACTAGAGGCAAATTTAAAATTTGGTGGTCTTCTGTCTGGTGCAGCCATATACAATGCAAAAAAATGGTATCTTAAATCTACTCAATATATCTAATATTTCTCATTTTGAGATTAAGAATATTCTAATATAATTTCTAATTATATTATTATTATTATTATTATTATTATTATTATTGATGTTGTTATTATTATTATTAGTAGTAGTAGTAGTAAAAGTAGTAGTAGTAGTAGTATTAAGAATATTCTAAGATTATTTTTAATTATATCATTATTATTAGTAGTAGTAGTGGTAGTTAAGATTTTTTGCCTTATATCATTACATTTTTACTAAGAAATATGTTTGAAACAAGCAAAATTATCTGTCAACATAGTGAGATCATTTGGTACAGAGTAATGTAGAAGTTAAATAATGAGATTATTTTTCCCACAAAGTAATAAGTTCTGTAATCTCATTACATTTTGAGAGAAGAACCTTCCATGAATCACTATGTAGAGTAACTACTGCAGCACTGGAGATATCTACACTGTTAGAAATAAAGGTTCTGTTCAGGTACATTTTTCATTCATCAAGATACAAACAATGTAAATGTTCCCTCAAAGGTACAACAGTGGTTTTAAGGTCCGATTGTGAACCTTAAATAAGTTTTTCCAGGTGAAAAGTTCGTATTTGTACCTTTTCATAACCGAATGTTTTAAAACAGAACAGTAAAATAAAAGCCTGGAGACGAGACGGGGTGTGTGGAGTCAGTACAGCTTAGAACATATCATTTCAGTGGATTATGGTACAGTTATGTTCCCTGACTAAAGGTACTGAGATGTAGCCTTGAGGGTCCCACCCCAGTGATAAGAGGGGTCCTGTCCCAGTGACAGTGTACTGCCTTTTGTTCTGAGAGTGAATACTGACATTAATCCTAGCATTATGTTTGGTCTGCTGACCCTGTTCAGCACTCAGTTCTGACTGAAAACATGAAGTTAGCTTTTCCTCTCTTTTGTGTTTTTTCTGCTGCACTTGGGTGGCTTGATTTTTTCTCAACATCCAGAAAATCACACTGAAGAACCTGTTTTCCATGACGTAGATTATCGCTTATTTGTCTTGTTCATGCCAGCCTGTCTTTGCACAGTCTTGTCATGACATAAAACCATGGAAGAGTCCATTATAACCATGACTGAGGGGTGAGGCTGCATTGAAATTACTGAAAATAATCACTACAGTATCAAATAACAGCTATTTTTTAAAATGTATATCAATTTCAGAATAGGTTATTTAACATCAACACATACAGTATATCGAAATAGTATTTTAATGGGGTCCTCGGCTCATTGGGGCCCTAGACGGCTGCCTACCTTTGCCTAGTGCAAAGTCTGCCCCTGCTGGAAGGTTCTTTAGGGAACCAAAAAGTGGGTTCCACATGGTACAACAGATCCAGCATCTTGTGGAATCCATGTCCAGATGAATTCATGCAGCTCTGAAGGCCAAAGGAGGCCAAAATATGCTACTGGGTAGGTGCAGCTTCCCTAATAAACTGGCAATGTGGATATTTCTAGTATTTAAAGACTTTATACACATTCGCAACATTATAATACACATAAGTGTTAATGCATCCACACTAAATCAATGTGAAATGTATTTGTTATCTTCTCACCGAGTTGCGTTGACCACAGGCCAGAAACTAGGAACATTTGGGCCCGGAAGAATATCAGCATTTATCCATACAGGACGGTTTATTCCGGTTTGATTCTTGATCCTCAGAAGATCGAGTGAGGGTTCTACAGACTGAAGACTTTTAAAGTCCAGCTTTATTCCTATTCAGAGGAAAAAAGTTATTTGGAACAAAAAATGGCACAACATACTACACACCTCTATTGGGTCAGTCTGCATTTGGAGTGGGAATTCAGGTGGATACCTTTTTTAAAAATCAATTTCTTTGATCTCAAAACTAAATAATCTTAATGTGTCCATTAACATCTCCTCTTCTCATATATGCAAAAAAGGGAGCTTAGTTTCAAACATATTTTACAGTCACTGGTGTTGTATGAATATGGTGTAACACCAGTGATGGTGACTCCAGTGACATTCTGGTTAAAACTGAGGATTTTGTAAATTGGCTGACTCATTGTCGGTCAGGTGACTTTGTGTAACTATTTAAAATCAGTAATAAAAGTCATATTTGGCATTATTTTAACAAAATTTTAATTATCCAGCCATTAAAGCACATAACACCAGTGACATATAGAAGTTATGAGCTGCCTGATAAACAAAATTATTAAGAAATTAATGAAATATAGTGAGCGAGTGTGACTCGCCTTATCAGGCCTCGAGGCGCTTCCTCTCTGATGAGCCTCGACCCAAAGAAGCAGTTTAATAGAGCTGAAAATACTGTGTTAAAATGTAATATAAGAGTCCTGATAGCACCAGTGACCAAAATCTCTGTGACAAATAAATTTTTTAGATAAAATACATATTTTTTAAATGTAGTATAATGTTAGTGATATAAAAAGTAAACATGAATCTGTTTTATACAAATTCCTAAATTAAACCTCTTAAAAATATTGTTTTATATTAAAAATGGTTTCTCAAATGTTGAAAACTGGTTTTGTGATGACCTGTTTTACAGATGCAGAGCGGCTATGAAACAGGATAAAAAGAGAAAAATCAGAGAATCATAAGAGAAAAGTCTTATTTAACCGTAGCTCAACTGTGTAAATGGACATACTGACTTTTGGAGCTGTGCCTCATATTTTAAGCATCTTTTTAAGCCCTGCAACCTTTGTGACATGGTTTCCCCTCCAAATGGAGAATGACCCTATTATTATTGGTTCCTCACCTTTCTTAGATTTGAGTACAGCATCAAGCCACTCTTCCAAAGTGTTGTCGCTGTAGACGTCTGGTGGATGGGCCATGATTGGAATGTTGGTTTCGTTGACGGTGTCATGGCCTTCAACGTTCACATCAGCCTCCAGAATCATGACATCACCTGATGTGTTTGATTAGCAGCGTGATTATTTGGGCTTTATATGAAGTGACACTGCATTTGAATAGATAATAGTACCTGCTTATCTTGTCACCACTAGATAGTGTTCTGACTTTGATAAGAGCCACAGCAGTAATGTCTTCACTAGTTACATAATAGTGCAGTTTGAAATGTGGCTTTAGTTCAAGAGATACTTCAAGATGTAAAAAGTACTATTTACTCTTCAGAGCTTCGTTCATTTCGGCTTTGCTGTTTGCAGCGTGATACCATGTGGCATAGAGCCCATCCTTCTCCTGAATCTCTCCATTTTGGAGGAGAAATTCCAGCATATCTCCATCTGTAGGGAACGACACCATGGTCTCCGAGCCTCCTAAGGACACAAATAACCACATATATATCATTATACATCTGAGAAAATGGTTCTCCTAACAACCACCTGGAAGACATAGTAGACACCAAAACTGCCCTCATCAGATAAACAGCACTTAAAGCTTTCATCTCTGAGAGAGAGGAGAAAATCAAGCTGCTTCAGATCTGAAAACATCCACAGGTGTTTCTGTCCATCCTTCCACTGTGAGAAGACGACTCAGCGCTGTGGGTCTGAAAGGATGTGTAGCTGTTCAAGAAGTTTAGCCCTGCCCACTCACGCTGAAGCTATAAGGAGTGTTTCAGCTCGGACTGCTTTTTAAAAGAGGCACAATACAGTGCAGCCAATCAGAACAGAGCTCATTTACATATATCAGCTTTAAAGGCACAGTAACAAAAACAGCCTGTTTAATTCTAACTGATAAAGAGAAGTTGGAAAATGATCATGAAATACTGAATTATGATTACTGAATTATGAATTATGCCTATTTTTGATACATACAACCACACAAACGTTATATACGCAACTCTTTAAGAATTTTTAGATGTAAACAGAGTGATTAACAGAGCTATAGATGATGCTAAAATGACAGCTTTACAGCCTCAAGAATGAGGACTGATCATTTAAAGCAGGGCAAGAAATTACCATAAAGAGATAATTACAATATGTTGTTTATCAGTTAATAACCTTTGTTTTTCCCATAAAATTTAAATAAACTATTGAATAAAACATAAAACATTCACACACACACATTATCTTATGTCTATACTGTTTAAATCTACATTATTTTACAGAACCTTTTACAAAATAAAGTCATACCAATTATCATACAACAATCATATTACATAAAACAAGTAATTTCAATATCATAGTGCAGATGATAACTAAGCAGTCTGCAGAATGTTTAAAAATATAATGTAATTTAAGAAGCTGACCTGATCCTGAGTTCCTGGTCAGAAGCACTGAGGTCACAGTGATGACGATGAGCAGCAGAAGTAGACCAACTCCAACACACAGCATGATGAACTGCTGCCTGCTGAAAATCCCCAGTACAGTCTTCGCTCCCTTCTCTTCACTCTCTCCCTCATCCTGTTTGTTTTCTTCTCTTTCGTCCTTTTTCTCTTCCATTTTGCTGGACCTTGTTGTTGCTGCTATGGTCTGTCGCTCTGTGTGTCTTGTAAACGTCTTTGAGGCACTTGATCACTTAAAGTGTAAACTTTATCAGTGGACCATAAAGAGCAGTGATTGTGGAGAGATAGCGCCGTGGGCTGTTGTTATCTAACTTCAGCAAATGATTCTTGGCCTTTGGATTAAACAGAAACTACGAGGCCTGTGCCGGTAGCAGAGTGATCTTATATTTGGGTACTGAGTGGAAAATAACTGGCCAAAAACGGATTTAGTGGTTTCTTTGCTTTACCTTTTACGTCTGGTAATTTTGAGACGGTCCCTAAGACTGAAGCAGAAACAGGATCTAACAAGGTGATTGCGTGCGAGCTGAAGCTTAATGTTTGTGAAATAATACGAATATTATAACATAATAAAAGCACAGTTCAGCAAAAGTTGTAATTGTAGTATGATGTCATCATTTATTTGGCCACAAAACTGTTATTTATCTAGTTAGAAAAAAAATGTCACATGAACTTTACCGTCCAGGGGGATTTGGGTACCTTGCTTGTTCTGATGCCTTTGAGGAGAGAAAATAACAAAATCAACTGTTGAAGGAGTCAATAATAATGAATGTGAATCCAAAATTTAGATGATAAATAGTTATTGGATTTGATATCAAATCATTTAATAAAACATCTCTTTGTTTTTCAATTTGTATGCATTTTCATCACCATTCTGTCTATCAAAGAATATTTATTTTCACCCTCATAAAAAATAAAAACATCTTGGCGATCAAACGTAGTTCATATTTTATCAACAGTTTTATCAAAAATGGTTCAACCAGTGCAGCTCAACAGCTGCGTTTACAGAAATTTCCTCTATGTAGGTACAATAAATGTGCTATTGATGTAGAATCATGTTAAAGAGTTCATGTTCAAGTGTGGGAATATCTTTGTCTTGCTATGGACAGCATGAAATAAAACAATAAATGAAGTGAGATTTTTTACATTGACAGTAAATAGTTTTTACTGTCGCTAGAGACCAATACTATGGTAACTCTGTTAACCATCACTGGACACAGTATTTATTTATTTTTTTTCTGGGGTGAAACACTTTGGTCATGAACTAGTGTTACACATACAGTCAACATACAGTCACTGTTAGAACAAAACCTTATTTCTCATTTTTGAATTTTTCCCTTGCAAAAATTGAACATGCCTGCCGCCTTTACATTATGTGGAACATTCATGATGAATGGAGCAATAGAAATGATCCAAAATGACTCTGATAAAAACTTGTTACATTAACGTCCATTCAAAGTTAAAGTATGTTTTTACCTTTTCAGGTAAAGTTACTTTTATTGGGGATAAGCTCTAATAAGTCTATATGGTCATTTTGACAGATTGCAGTTCACTACAGGAAGCGTAGGGGGCGATAAGGCATCTGTTGTTTAATTGCACCATAATGGAAGAGATTGTTGTCACATAGATGGAACTTTGAATGATTGTGGCGGCAAAGTGAGTGGAATTGAAGACAGTATAGTCACTTAATTGCATACCAGCTAATAGATCAGCGGTCAGCAACATGCGGCTCCAGACCCTCATGCGGCTCTTTCACTGTCCTGTTTTGGCTCCACAGCAGTAAAATAAAGCTCTGCTCATCGTTCAACACAGTTTTAACAATAAACAGTCTTAAACGTTGGAGTTAATATAGAACTGCCAATTCATCCTTTAACCCCAAAGATTGGTGTGCAGACTGCTGGTCACCATAGCAACACAGACAACAATCTCGACTAGCTAGTAGGTAACGAAAAAAGGCAAAGAGAAAAATTTGGAGATGAATGGACTTATTAGCATGTATAATCACTCCAGCTTGTTTCCTGATACGTTTAATCTGCAATGAGAAACTGTCAAACACTAAAAAGTCGCGCAGCTGAAGTCGCTTCTTATTCGCCAGCTTCTTGTTCAAATTTTTCCGTTCCACCTTAAATGATGCAGCAGTTACATTCTGGCACCTCAGGCACCATTTAAGGTGGAACGGGAAAATTCGAACAAGAAGCTGGAGAATGAGAAGCGACTTCAGCCTCGTAAAAAGTTGAACGCTGAGAGACATTTTACAACAAACTATTCTAGTTTCCTGCTGGAGATGTGTGAAAAGCAACTATAGCTGAACTGAAGCTTAAAGCAGAACAAACTAAGTCTGTGTTTTTGTTTATATTATATTTTTATCCTATACTAGCACATTAATGCATACTTATGAGGCATATTTACAGCCAAGATGGTAAAATGGACATGAAATGTTGTGGCTCCCAAGGTGGTTAGATTTTTATTGAAAGGACAAAATTGCTCTTTTTAGTATTTGGGTTGCTGACCCCTGCCATAGATTAATCAAGAATAGAAATAATTATTATTTGTGTTACCAAAAATACATAATGAAAGCACAGAATCTCAGCATAATTCATAAGCATGATTCATTTATATTACACTCAGGAGACAAAGCATAGAGTGCACTGCCTTAGAATGATGCACTGTGTCACATGATCATATGCAACGCTCATTTAATAGTAATAGCACAGTCAGTCGTGTGCAAAAGTTTGGGCACCCCACTCAAATGACATGTTTTGTTGATTGTCTGTAAATAAGTGAACACGGTCCCTACAGAGAACACACTCCTGCAGCTTAGTGTTTAAGTGTGTTCTCTGTAGAGGATATGTTCACTTATTTTCACCTGGTGTTCAAACGTTTGCATAGCAGTCGTTCGCAGTTATGCTATCTGATTTTCCTCTCCAGTGCAGTCTGTGGCCTGTTGGAGGTTTTCTCAGGGACTATCAGCCTAATCCTCCTCTTCGGTGAGCCGTCACCCGAGGACAGATACTCCTGGACGACCGCGGGTGCTGTGGACACTGGGGTTGTGGAGTTTTCCCCCACTTCTTGTGAACCAGTGGGCTCTTCCTGAGGACCACTGATGTCTTCCAACGTGCTAACTGGCAGGTTCAAGTCTGGATTTGTGGCTTGCTGAGGGTCCGTGGTTTTCACCACGCTGAGTGGTTGTACTGTTGCTGCTGAAAGATCAAAGCTGTGTGTTAAGGGGCGGGAGAGTTTTGGAAGATTTGAGATTCAGAACTGCTAGCATTAGCAGCATTAGCACTCAAATTAATATTGTCCTGGATTTCTCCATCAGCTGGAAAGTTGGCATCACTCTGATCGTTTGAAACGTCCTCCTTATTGTTTCTACTGGATTCCTGGTCATCTTTCTTTGGCGCTGTTCTTTTAGATGGTGTTTTTTTGCTGTCCTGCTCCACCGTTGGCGTCTCGTCCTCCTTCTCGCTGTCGGAGCGCTTGGACTTCTTCACCGCTTTGCTTCCAGAACGTGGAGACTTCGTGCTAGTTTTGTCTTTCTTGGATCTCTCTTTTGGATCGTTCTTGCTCTTTTGAGGTTTGCCTTTTTTGCCCTTGGACGTCCCGTCTGCTTCATTGTCCTCATGGCTGTGACTGGATGTGGAATGAACACGGTTTCTTCTAAGAGGGTTCAGATTCAGCTTGACCTTTAGTTTCCTACTCAGTTGAGATCCTGGGTTACGGCTTTTTAAACCTTTTGATCGCATGCGTGAACTACTGCTGTTTATTTTGCCAGATTTTGGGCTGTTTTCTCGTGTTTGAGATGTCTTTGTCTTGCTGATTCTGTATGGGCCCTCGTGCTCTTTGCTTGGTAAAATAAGGCCTTGCTCAAGTGACCCTGACAAATCAAAGGTAACACTTCTTTGTTCTCTAGCTGGACTTTCTGCACTAGCCTGGTTATAATTTTCTCTGTATACAGTATACTCAGATACCTTCTCATCACTGGGCAGTGCAGTGTTTGTGTGATTTCTAAACAAACTGTCCTGGTTTTCATTCCCAGTTTGCCTGTATTCATAAGTTTGATGACAGTGCAAGCAGTTAATGGTTTGGTAAACAGGTGAAGTGCCATATTCCTCATGTTGATTCTTCATTAAGTGATCATTTATATGATTCCCAGACATTTTCGTGTGTAATTTCTCTTTAGGTGTAAATGTTTGTCTTTGGGCAACTGATATGTGCCTTCTTAGTGCTAACTGTTGCATTCTTATGGTTGACGTGTCTTTGGAAACTCCATGAGGACCATTTTCTTCACTGCGAAGATGGAAGATGTTCACACCTCCATTTCCTTTTTCGTTACGTCTTTGTGCTCTAACATCTGTAAATTGAACAGAAACATTTGATGTTTTAGAGAAAGAAGAACTAATTAATGGCTTTGAAACAATTTCAACAAAAATACAAATGTATACTGAGTTTAATATTTATTTTTTCAAAATTTCTGCATATTTCAGTGATGGGCAGTCATTCAGATTGGTTTAGTGTGAAATGGTTGATTCTAGAGACTCAGATTTCTTTACAGTGGTGGTGATAGGAACCAGGGGTCACAATAACTACACCACAAATATAGCCATTTTATTTACTATCTAAACCTCCAGTGAACCTACACGTGTCTTCTGAGTTTTTATGGAATGATGATGATGGGAAAATAGTGATTAATCTGAAAATGTTTCTCTGAGGGACTATTTTGTCTCACAACACTGTGCATGTAACCCTCCACTATGAACGTTGTAAAATCTTCTCAAAACTATCGTGAAAACTATGCCTCAGACATCAGGCAGTGAATTCATCACCATTTCATGTAGTAACTTTCTGTGAGGGAGCTTTTAGAGGTGGATGTCTGGTTCCTATCACCACCACTGTGAACAATTCTGACTTAAGTTTTTCTAGAACAGAGAGTTTCACACCAAACCACTCTGAAAGACTTTGTTTACATCATTTAATTATGCAGAAATTGAAAAAAATCAGTGGAATTCTTATTTAAAGGAATACTCTGGCTTTTTTTAATATAATATCCATTAGCCTTATCTGTATCCTATAGTTGATTACCACAGATAATAGTTTCAACATATTTGTTGAACTGAAACTCAATTATAATAGAAGCTATGGGGCAGTTGCTGAAATCAATGTTTGAAAAAAAATGAA